TTCTGCTCACTGCATTTTGCATTTAGAAATGACACTTTATGCGTCACCCACCATATTCCTGAACACTATTTATTAGTAAATAAGGCCTAGTTCATGACAGAAAAAAATACACAAAAGAGTCAATTTGCATAATGACTTTTACATAATGACTCGTTAGTCTCTACCATTCACAGTGTCAAGAAATGGAAATCAATCAATGAAATTTTTTGTAAAATTTACTTTGGAACATGATAGACCAAATAGTAAAGTAAATATGTATCGTATTGCCGTTTAATTATTTACTTATTACCATGTCCCATTATTACATTTTATGTCGTGATTCTTATTTTTTACTTGCAAAAAATTTCCAGATGTATAAAAACTAAACATAAAGCAATGACTTAAAATCTTAATGGCTTTTGACTAAAGAATTAGATCATTGTATAGATTTACTGAAATATGTAATTGACAGTGAGTCTATAAGGAAAAGCATTTATATGAAGGCTGATCGAAGTTTAAATATCGGATAAGTCAATAAGTAGATGCTCAGCACTGTGCAAATGTGTGTCAACTTTGCAAAACACTTTTGCATATGCCAGATTGCAAGATGAATTCCTCGCAGATGGCGATTAATCAGATTTCAAACTCCTGTTTTTGTTCTTCCTGTCCAAAGCTCATGCTGACAGGAACTCATCTTTGCAATAATGAGTGAAACACGACGCATAAATTATTCCTTGTATATATCTTCAAAAAAGAATGGAAGAATGTAAATGTTATCCTCCCACCAGACCAACTATTGCCTAATTGAGCTTGAAGTGTAAAGACTGACAATTGTTACACAGAGGTGTAGAAAGAAATCTCCCCAATACAACAGCATTGTAAACACAGATGAATTCGATTCGATCAGCCGCAATCGGAATCCAGCAAAGTTAGAAAAAAGTCACAGTTCTGTAAACTTATGGTAAGCTGGCTTCTGAACAATAACGCCACTAATATGCGACACAATGCATTACTGATTTGTTAGAGGATCAACTAAGTAGTTTTAAAACACAATGCATTCATGTATGAAAATAAAATGTCTTACAGTTCGAACACACGATTACGGGCTCTTAATATATTTGTAGATATTTAATTGTGAACTCATCAATGATCCTTATATCATATTACGTTTTACTGCTATGCTACTTAGGAGTAGAAGGTCACTACTTGTCGGGCCCCGATTTCGATCTCCTTTGGATATGTTGTAGTACTACATGAGTGTAGAAAAAGTGAAGGAGGGTTAGACTCCATGAGCCCATTTACGCCCGCCACACCCCCTCAAAGGCGCCCAAACCCCCAGAGTTGCCGCACTAAAATCATCGCCAAAAATCGAGTTTTGGTCAGATTTTCAAAAAATTTACATTTTTGTGATCCCAGATAGTTGCTTTATCATATCCAATAGCAAACTCAACTTTTTTGAAATTTCGAATTTTTTCAATACATACCCTTGGTCAGAAAATCTTCGAAAATATTGAAAATTTCAAAAAAGTTGAGTTTGCTATTGGATATGATAGAGCAACTATCTGGGATCACAAAAATGTAAATTTCTTGAAAATCTGACCAAAACTCGATTTTTGGCGATGATTTTAGTGCGGCAACTCTGGGGGTTTGGGCGCCTTTGAGGGGTGTGGCGGGCGTAAATGGGCTCATAGAGTCTAACCCTCCTTCACTTTTTCTACACTCATGTAGTACTACAACATATCCAAAGGAGATCGAAATCGGGGCCCGACAAGTAGTGACCTTCTACTCCTTAGGTGACGATGACTCCACTTGCCTTGTACCATACATAGTTTCGCATTATAGAAAGTGAATATGGCTAATTGGAGTGTGAAGGCATGCGGTCATTCATGGACCACGATGGATGAAAGATGGATGATAAAACAAATTTTTGCCAAGGAGGGGAACAGACAACCTAACGTATCAGTACCATTGCTATTGCTATTTGCTAAATAGTGTTATAAGTACTTTTACGTGTGGTCGTATTAATTGCTTTTTACTTTCTGTAATACAAGTGAGTAAATTAAATTACTCTATAGCAGTCTGCGCAAGTTGTTTTTAATGAGGAATCCCGTAACATTGAATGTATGGCTTAACTTTTACAAGTTTTAGGTACTTTCAAATATGTGTAAGCCTCACATCTACTTATTATGAACCTACATCAGTTTCCCTTTCAAATGGGAAATCATGCAGCTTTGAATCAAAAATTATATTATACTAGCGTATAGCCCGGCCAAGGCCGGGTTCTAGACTTCCAGTGGGGGGTGTGCCCAAAGCGAAAAATCCGTCATACTATACTTTAAATAATTCCCAGTGGAGACTTTGTCATACCACATACATACATCAGAGTGAGGGTTTGCCCAAGTCATACTGCATTTTAATTAATCTGGTCACAGTACAATTTGATTTCCCTCTGTGGGAGTAGTTGAATAGCTAATTACTTAAATTCCCGTCGCGTGGGAGTAACTGCATAGCTAACTATTTAAATTCCCACGCTCCCGTTAAGTTCCATAGACCCCGTTAACTTCTACAATTAACGCCAAGCTATTGACGGATTCGGATTCAGCGTCAAAAATACATTCGAATTGATGTGCGACATCACTAATAAGCCATATTTGGACACCACGGTCACGGCAAGGTCACGGGGGTCTCGCAGGTTGAAACCATTGGCGTTGGATTCACCGTCAAAAATACATTCGAATTGATATGCCACTCGCTGTGGGTGGAGTTTCTCAAACTAAAATAATTAATTAATAGTGTTTATCACGATCACTTATCATGATAACCACCATTGATGAGTGATGTATGTTTGTGGGGTAGCAGTATGTACATGTTCATGCATGCATTCATTCATGCAGTATAGTGCATGCATGCAGTGGTCCGCTTCCTTCTTTGTCTCCTCTATGGGGCAACTTGCATTACGAAGACGGACCCAGGGACCCAGGGATCATACTAACACTTTATTAGAGTTGATTTTATATTATATTATATTATATTTTTTTTATTATATTATATTATATTATATTATTTAATAAATAGTAAATTGAAATCGGTTTTCCATTTTTACTAAGTACGTAAATATAATTAGACGCGAGCGTCTATTGTTAACTTCTTTTAATCAAATTTCTTAAAGCAACAGAACGACAGTGACGAGATATGAATAGCTTTGTCGTTTACCAAAAATATGACAGGACTGTCGAAAAACCCAACAGTCCTGTCATATTTTTGGTTATTCTTAAAGCTTCCTATTGTAAAATTTTAAAAAATCATGACAAATTAGTGCTTCTGCAAAGTTTCACCTTTTTTGAGAGTTCGTCAACATATAGAGTCGTGGACATGTTATGGACATGGAGCAAGACAGAGGAAGAAGTGAAAATCTTTAAGCTGAATGCCTTACGTGAGCCCAAACAAAACAAAAGGTTATTAATAAATTGATAAGAGAGTGGATTTACAAAGCATCTCATAAAGTTAAGGGCGACACGCTCCACATGATTCTAATGCATTTTTTGGCTGTTTGCTCACATATAGAATATTTTTACTGAATTTTGGTGGTTTCGCCAATAACACAAATTAATACCTTTCAACCACAAACTAGCGTTGAAATTGAAATCTGACTAACTCTTCCAAGCTGAATTGTTGATTCGTTACGAACTCGCCACTTTCATTTTACTCATTAGCGGTAAATTGACGATATTTATTTACTCTTATTATAAAGAAACGTCCAACATTTGTTCGTTTACTGGGTTCATTAACTTATCACACAAATAGGTAATGGCTACTTATTAATAAGTGCAATTAATATTTATAATTTTTTCACATTTGTTTTTAAATGTTTAGCCGTAGTTAGGTATGAAAATAGAAAAACGAATGCATAATTGGTTGCATATATATAGAATATATTTACGCATACATATGTACTTAAGCAGGGAACGCATCAATTATACATGATGTGCATACATATATTTGTATATATATTTATGTCTGATACACCATGTGAACCCGGTTTGTGGTACGTTTATGAACGAGTGCCCTATCAATGGGAAATTGTAATCAATGTTCATGTTCATGTTCTACAATGTTCATCAAAAATATTGCACAATGTGTTATATGTGACACTAAATACATATCGCACAAATGCCATATTCTAATATTTAACTCATTCACAATCTAGTCAGTTGCTTGTTAGTCATCTTAATCTGGTGTGAACTTGTGGGAAATCTTCTGTCGCCCAGTATAAAGTTAAGTATTACTTTCGTCTAAAAAATTATTATCATAACAAATAACTCAATCTGAAGCTGTGAAAATGAATTAACGAATTTATTTTCACACAATTAAGGTCGTTTTTGTTCATGATTTGATTTCATTAAATGTCAAGTGTATAATCACGTTACGAATACATACAACCTGCGACCGGGATCATAAACGATCAAAACCTGACATTGACAATGAGCGTCAATCCCAATCACCATCTTGCAATCTATATACTTGCAAAGTAAATGAATATACAAGAATATTAATATTTTTAGTGCTTATGTATGTAGGTAGGTAGGATTAGGGTGAAAGATGTCTCAGTACTCGTATGCATGCATCAGCGTTTGATTCGTACAATGCCTTCAAAGATTGAAAGTAATTATCAAAACAAATGAGCACATCACATTGGAACTTTGTCTGCCCATGCAATTCTATAAAAACTTCAAGTTCACAGTTCCTACAATTATTCATATTCATTCATATTCGTGGAAATTCGCCTATAGTCTCATCCATCCATTTTGTGTACGCGTTACTGCTGATTGATAATATGTGATGAATATGTGAAGAATTTTGTGACGAGTACGTATCGCTAGTGTGAATTTTATGCTGGGTGTCTCATGTTCGGAAGGCAGACATTGTCACCTGTCGTCTAGTTTGCATAGAATTGAAAGGTCACTGCCTTCATGAATATATTAATGATGACAATATGATTAAAAGAGGAAAATGCAATTTACTTTGTTTTTCACACGTAATTCACCGAATGACGCTGGAAGTAAATCCTTTGTCTCGAGTTGCACTCCAGCAGAATAATCACTTTTTAAACACTTTCGTGTATGGGAACGTGGATTGTGTAGGCATTTAATGCACACAGACTTGGAAAGATGAATACGTCACTATTATGTCACACTCTGTATTATTCTAAGTAATTGTCACCGCTAATTGTCACACGCTTTAAATGTTGAGGGCTCTAGTGCCTAGAATTGGAATCTTCGAAAAACACAAAAACACAGCTTCGATTTTCTTTTGATTTTCACACCTTATCAAAACGTGAATTTAGACTCCAACTCAAAACACTCAACTCCATCAGCACTCGCACATTGCGAATTCACAACCCACCAGATTGAACTCAAGCTGACAATTGAATAATACTGAAACAAAGTTTATGAAAAAGATAACCTGATATCCTGCACTGCATTACGTTGCAATTTACTCTGTCTTGTAAGCTCAGGTATTGAATCTGCAGACGCCACATAAAGGCCAGGCAAGCCACTTGGCTAAATAAATGGCAAAGCCATAGTTTGGTCTTAAGCATGGTTGGATTCAAGAGTCAAGAAGCAAGCCAAGCACAAGCCATTTCGCATAATGCGGTTGCTGGTAAATCCCATCCTACATAATTGCTTGAGAGAACTCAGCAGCCCCAACAAATAAACATAAATGGTACAATTCACTTTCATCACTAAAATTCACTTTTTATTTCTTACTACTCATTGTGGCCCATTGTTAAATCGTATCTGCTTTATTCGCATTATTGTGTGTACTTGGTGGCAGAAGGTGTGGGTGGATTGGATGCTTGTTAAATACTTACAGTGGCATTCCATTGTTATTCCCATTTCAAGGGATCCATGAAGCCGTTTTGTTGGCTAAAAACAAAGAAGCAGCCAACAGACAAGTTCAACTGCTAAATGCTTTCAAGTTTGGATTTTGTATTGCTTCGTTCAAGTAAACCTTTCTCAAATTTTCATAAAAAAACCAGCAGTGAATTACTATCAGTGATGCATAAAATGAATGAATGTTCATTCCTCTTGTACAAGTAAATGGTTTTAACTGATTTGTCCGTTGAAATTGAAATCTGTTTCAAGAAATAATGTTTTGTGAATCAAAGATGAAACACATTCGTGTGACACAGTTTCACAAATGCAAATCTCAAGTTCACCTGAGGAGTTTAAACTCGTGTTTAATATTTAGGCTGAAATTTAAGATGTTCATATTCTCATTACTTAATCAACGGAATTGATTATTGGCATCACATATACTGATTAAAGTTGATACTTTTACTCGATTCCAGTAGATGTGTATATGATCCTAAATTCATACTGTCGTGGGGCAGTGTCTTATAATCCACTAAAAATAAACAAGCAAGTCTGTCAGCATCATGAAATAAGCTCTTGCTGGCAAGCTAAAAAAAAAACAGAAATTCAAATCATGGAAGTTTGAAGATAAACAAGTCGACAAGAGAAGATAGTCTGCACTTGAAACAAGATAATACTTATACAATGGTCTAAGAAATTGCATATTGTTGTAAACGTCTCATCCATAATAATTAACAATATAATTTCTCTTTCAACATTATACATAACTCATCCGCTCTTAAATTCATAATCTACTTTTCGCGTAAACAACACCTTTTGCATATAAAGTACGTTTGATTAAAATCAAATTTGATATTCGATTTGAGTTTGTAATAAAAGCAAATAAAATATTCAAGTTGAGCGTCGAGCCCAGTGGTCAGGGCGATCACGAGTTTTGTATGAATATTTTGATCCATGAACCAATTAAATAAGTAGCAGTTCCGCTTTTTAATTATAGCAAGTGATGAAATGGATTGACCTCTAACAAAAAGTGCCCAAAAGTGAGAGTGTGCCACTAGACGGGAAAATTATAGAACGTGTGCCAACGAATCATGGACTCCAGGCAAATTCTAAATTTTGTTATTGACCATCCGGGATAAACGTATGTAACCTGATTACTAAGCTCAAGCTACATACATATTTGGCTGATCTCTTATCCTATAATGTTGAAAACACCTTTCGTGTCTGTTTTCTTTTGTGAAAAGATGAATTTGTTGAGAAGGTCTGGCTTGCGTGGTGTTTTGTAGGTTAAACGCATGACCTACCACCACACATATCCCTGCAACTCTTCAATTGCACCTGCTCAGACCAAAGACGACGACCACATCATGCTTGAGTTGACCCACCAAAATCTTCAAGATTTTGTCTTCAGGTCTTTGGAAATAGTTTTCCACGTCACGTCATACAAAAATGTGCAGCGGCAGCAAATGAGTATGACCACCACGCATTGCTTCACTATTATGATACTTCCAAAGATTTTTCATTAGAAACGCTGATGAAAAATCTGAGGCTCTATGAAAAAAAGTTTCCTATAGGCTTCCAAGGAGCAAGAGAAACCCAATTTCTAGTTGGACAATGAATGAAACGGAAGATTTGTTAAATCATCACTTTAGTAAAATAACGCATCAATGGATAGAGTGGTTTTATTAGCCGGCTGACGTGGGTCATCAATCAATCTGCATGGTCAGCAAGTCCATAGAAAATATACAAAGTTGCTATCCATCATCAGACAGAAGAAGATGTTTTATCTAAATTGCATAAATTAAGTAAATCTATAGGTATGCACATGCGTTTCGCACTCTGAATTTTTTAAACATGTGATGAGATTTTATGGGAATATTTTCTCGTCTACTAGAACACAGAATTCACAATTATTATCAAATGGGAGTGAGACAAATGATTTTATACGAAAATCATCAAATGATATTAAAATGAAATATTTTGACAGTTAACGACTTTATTCGTCATGCAGATTTTAATGAATAAGTTTGTGCTTCTAGGCTAAGGTAGCCATCCAATCATAGAATTAGCCAGATTACTTAATTTATGGTGTGACTGTCGGCCAACGATGACGATGGCATTTAGAGTTGACAACTGGTCAACCACTTCACATGTCTGGTGGCCTTCGCGTTTTAAACTTTGTTTACCTCATAATTTATCTTATTTTTAAGGTAGTCATTTAGCCTAAAAATCATGACTCGTAGAAGTTCACACTTCTACGAGTGTAGTTTTACATTTTTCAAACCCCTTAAAAAATGGGACCTTATATGGTACTGTAATGAGTATAATGTCATCATTGTAATTGACATTTGTATGTTTTGATACCCATAAATTGAAACCAATAATTAATTAAGTATTTCACTGAAAAGCTACGTTGCACAAATTACTCATCGTCAGTTGATAGCTTGATGTGAACAATGTGAACAATGTCTCTAAATTAATTAATTTTTTGAAGACCAGAAATAAGCGATTCTACCAGCAGGGATTTATATGTGCGAATAAAGGTGCCACGAATTATGTACACGCAAAAAGCAAGGTTTACTTATAAAAACTGTGAGTCAAATTCTTGAGAAAACTGAACTCTACTGGACAGGAATGTGGACCAGTGGACGGTTAAACTGGCAAAATCTCTGTGTATTAGTGTACAATTAGTTATGGTCGCTTGATTCTATTTACTAGAAATGAAGCCACAGTTTATAAAATTGAAGACCATTCAGGTTGATACCCGTTCGATCTGGTTACTGCAATTCTTTGTCCAACCAACCCCTCAACACTTCCTTAGGATTACAAAACGATTACACTTTTTGTTCCACAATGTCAGAATGATGTGAGGATGACAATATGTTGTGCGGTCGGTGGAATTCCACAAAAGTCATACAACTGACGCATGTAATCAGTTGACTAATATTTCATCGTTTTTTAGTACCATTCGCGTTTGTGCTTGACTGAATGTACATAATTCTTTTGACACTGCCTTCTTCCTTTCTACTGCCCCTGCTTAAGAAATATGAAGATGAGTTTTATTGTGAAACTCAAATTCGTCTCAAGCAATTACAGAGTTTCATATCTCCAAAATGTAATGAGAGCCTTGTCATGAAACGTATTGCATGATACACATTGTAAAATGAACTTAAACAAAAACTTGAATTGAAATATGTTTGATCATTTGTTTTATTTTCAACATTATCATCAGTTGCATAAAATATCTGGGATTCACAAAAATATGGAAGCTACACATAATATTAATGGACAGTGCAAAAGTACAAAATTAAATTTCTTGTGTGTAAATTATGTTATAAATTTTACAATTTTTAAGATTATTAAGCATTATTCTAGCATTCTATGATTATTTATTAGTACCTTTGCAACCAATTGCCCAGTCATTTATAAATAAATTAGGTAGATAGAGAAACTCCAAATTAGGCTTTTATTTCCAGTATTCTTAAAGCTTTGAAGAGTTAAAACCTTGATTTAGGCAGTACATCGTCACATTTTCAGTATCTAAATGATGAGAACATGGACAGTATGTTCTTGTCCACAATATAGCAATAGTAAAGATTAACATTCGTGCGAGTATTCATTTGTTATGGTTGTCGTATATGATTTTGATATGATTGTTGACACGAGTATATGTAATTGAGGGTTACCTCCCAGTTAAGTATTATTATGACATGATAATATTATTGATATTCAGTAAGAAGGACAATTGCATGAACTTAAGAGCCTAGTTCAATTTGACACACCCCGATGATAGTGTACAATTTACTGTTTTTGCCTATAATAATAACTTGGTGACGTAACGTATGTATGAGATGTAAATTGAAGGAAGCAGAACATTGAGACCGGATACATCTATATAATATATATAAAGATACTCTAGGGCCCTATGTGTTCTGCACACATATACACATTTGTACATGCATTTTAGCAAAACAAACATCTTAAAAGAAATGATGAGATCTTGAACTCGTGTAAAAAGTAAATGAGTAACAAATAATAATAATAATTCCCTCATTCTCCTATCTTTTCCTACGATGGAATGACTAAAAATATGTAAGGAACACAATTTTTCTCTTCATGCATTTTACCACTATGAATCTCACTGACTCTGCTTCAGTTTGCTACTGCTGACTGCATGCATGATTGATTGAAGAGTACTTAGAATTTAAAAGTAACTAGAATTCTCTGAATGTCATACAAGCACACCTGCAACTATGGAACCATCGTAAGCGTCCGAGTTGTCGTCGTCCTCGTCCTCCCCGTGGGGATGGGGTGGTGGAGCTGGCGTAGAAGAGTGGGGGCGATCACCCTCCACCCTGTAGCTCCCTTCCTCGTTGGAAGACAAGGGTGGCACAACTTGGACACTGGGATGGCGTGGGTAGTCGTACAGGTAGTGCTGCTGTTGCTGGTGTGAGGACAAATTTTGGGTATGACTACTACTACTTGGTTGGTGATGTCGGTATGCTTGGTGGTACTGAGGACTGGAATCTTCGTCTTCGTCACCACTCATAGTATCCATTTCCAGTCCACGATTCACTTGACCGCCGCCGTGAAGTTCGTCAGTGTTAATCCTATTAAGTTTACGTACATATTTAGAATTTGAAGATGAGTATACGTAAATACATTGATTATTTAGCAATGCATGTATGATCAAAAGACTGTATATCAAGGTGAAATTCTAATGTAGAAAGCAGACACATAAATATGTTACCTCGTCATAGTATGGAATTCTGCAAAGATCCAGTAAGCAAAAAGGAGTAAGATAAGATCAAGAATATCAGTGAGAGAGTATACAAAATACACAAAATTTTTCTTGGAAAACATTTTGAATTAAGTACTTGGAAAAAACTAGGAAATATAAATACGTTAAGATAAAGCGGAAGAACAGCGAGTACGTATAAATAACATTATCGTATTTGCGTTTTATGAGTGGTTTAGCTAATTAATAATTTAAGAGCGTACTCATCGTCGGTTGGATGAAACGAGGAGAGGTGTTGAGGATGAGGAGGACGCTCTTGAAGTGGGGATGACTCTGCTAAAGGCCTTCCGGGTCCACTGACCATTCCATATGACGAGCCCCACCTCTCAGCCGGGGAAGAGATGCGTCCAAAGGTACTCAGGCTGGGGGATGCTGTCCCACTCAGATCATTCACAGTCTCGAACCCTGAGTTTACACAAACCAAATTATAGACCCTGACATTTTGAATGACTTGGTTTAGCACAAAAATGTATAAAGTCTTTTAGCCAAAAATAAATATTTGAATGTCTCAGTTATGTGACAAAAAGAACTAGGCGTCTCTGTCAACGAGCAAAAGCCTCAGTGAGATAATTTGGCAGGAAGGATATGTCATGTTTATATTACATTACTGAATCACTCAATTGCTGCATTATGTATGTATGAAATGTCTTTTACGCTGCCTTTATGCACCACTGATTAGAAATGGATGCACTTACCTTGAGGTACAAAAGATGCAGATTTTCCCTGCTCCTGTCCATGGCCATGACCCAAATTCTGAGAATTAAGCTCTTTTTGTTGCTGGGCGTACATCGGGTGATAAGACGAGGACTGATTGGGCTGACCCTGGTGGGAATGTTGAGACGAATGGTCGTCTCCTTCTTCTTCGGCTGCTGAATATTTGTAAATATTGACAGAGTTTTCATTATCTGAACCCGAACTGGGGGCTGCTGCGCCGTTAATCATTGACCCACCACCACAACCTTTAAAATCTATACGTGAAAAATTAAAAGAGAAGAGCAATTAACCACCAAAAAAGCCCACGGATACCGAAACAAAGTGCTAACTAACCAAGTATATAAACTACATAAATACTACTCAATGTCAGTACGTTAGAAAAAGTGAGACTTGTAAATTGAAGAGGAAACGCAAGTGCGTTTATTCTGCACTGATCGATTAGTGGTTATCAAAAAGGGTTTGTAAGAGAAAGTGAGAAAGAGAGTGCTAACTGGAAGACAGTTCCCGGTACGTCGGAGTGGTGATGATGTTGGGCGTCCAGTGGGTGGAGTAGAGACGGGGCAGGGCTGGAGGTCGTTGGGTTGCGGGAACGTGCAGCGTTGAGAGGGACGCCGAGACCAGTTTGTGGCGACCAGTGTTGGGTGAGTGGGGGCAGCCGTTGAGACCTCCGTTGGGCACGAGGCGGTAGTGCGGATAGCGATGCCCGTTCATTCCTGTGAGGAGAAAAGGGTAGCAAGAACAAGCCCGTGTCCCAAATGTTAGTTTTATAAAAAATTATACCAGTGAAAATTAGTTTCATTAGTTATCAATTACAAACACTAAAATTCCCTTTTTTCCCGTGATTAGAGAATGTATTGTGAATCCCAAGCAATGAAATGGTCGAATGGGTATGCAAACTAGCGACCGGGAAGTTGTAGATACGTGTTATGCATGTATTAAAAAAAATACCTAATGTCGCTGATCGCACAGGCCCATGAACTGTGGTCGCTTCGTCTTCATCTGAAGAGTGTGACGAAGCCAATTCCAGCGTTCTTTCACCATCGGAACTTCCATCGTCATCAGAATTTGAGCGCTTACGTCGTTTGCCATGATGTTTTCTGTCAACTTCATCCCCATATTTTACTGCAAACAATTATCAACAATTTGCAAATGACACCACAGATTATTTAAGGTAATTATCATCGCCAATTCCGTATATGAGTAGAGGTGACCACCATTCATCTTCCTGCTTTAAAGTGGCAAATCATGAAACTCTAATTATTTTTGTGTGTATGTATGGCTTCAAAAATAAATACAAAATATGTCCTCATCCATTCAGGAATAGGAAATTAGCAATTTATGTGCAAATAAAACAAAGGGGAAATGCACACAATAAAATATTAATGTTATAAAAATGACTTGCAAGTTTTTCAAGCTTTCCCTCATTTTTCAAACTCATATTTTCCGCAAGGAAATTTATCTTGAGCTGAATAAAAACATTTTTGATAATTTGAGAAGCACGCTAATTTTCATTGTAAGCGACCATTATGCTTCCAATGATAGTATTACCAATAAACGAAATGTGACAATGAAGTGATGAGACTGTGACTGACTCACGTTGCTCAAACACTTGAGAAGCGAAAAAAATTATCGTAGTCGTGCAATAAGCCAATTGTACATACGTACGTAGGTACATAGATACCTACGCAAGCCACACGGTAATATGTTTGATCGTCACCATTAGAGAGTTGGAGATTTTTTGTACTTTTACTTGTACTGTACTGTGACTACAGTACAATACAAAAATTAGTACAAAAATCAAAAGACCTGGAGAATTTCATTATTTTGTACTCTGAAAAAATTGTATTGTAAAACTCCGCGAAATAGATGAGTCAAAAATTGAGACAAATCAACTCATGATATACAAAATGAGAATCCCTCCAACATGTGCGTTTAAAACGATCAAACCAAAAAGTCGAAATTTTTTACCCTTGACCTCGATTAAAACGGTCACCAGGCTGATATAAGCCGAAATGATAGTAATTTCTGAACTCCTCGCTTCAAAGTGAACTACGTCTGCAACGGTTGAAATAAAATATTAACATTTTTGACCTTTGACCTCGTGAACATGGTCACGGGGTCTTCATACGTTAAAGCTATGCAGATTTCTTAAATTCTCGCCTTAATACACGTCTAAAACAGTCGACACTTAAATTGCGACCTTTGACCTCGTCCTTTCGGTCATTGGTTGGTCGTAGGTCAAAAGTATTGACGACTATAAATTCTTGGTGAAATTTCCTTTAAAATGATACCGCATATGAAAATTAAGGTATAATTTTGCGTTTACTTCACGCCAGGGTGACCTTGACCTTGACCACAGGGAGCCCATCTTCGAACTCGACCTAGGGTCAAAAATTAGAAGCAAAATGGCGAAAACGGCGTCTGATTACATTGAGGCGTTCTATCCTAGATATCCTAGTTGCCAACCCTTGATTTTTCCACAGTAGTACAAATTGAGCCCGTGTTTCAATTTGTCTACTGTAGACTGTAGAATTAGTACAAAAAGCTGATGACGTCATCATCTAGAGTCCACAGTACAGTCTACAGTCAGAGTACAAGGAATCTCCAACTCTCTATTATCTCAGCTTTATTGTAACCACCACCACCACAGGATTATTAACATCTAGTCAAGGAAGCCACTGTTCCGTGAGATGGATTTAAAGGAGACTCTAATTTGACTGTTTAAACTACGTAACTATTTATTTAATCATAATCATAATCTACATTTCTGCATAAAAGAGCGCATGCAAACTGACTCTTAAAGTTTACAAATGTGAATATTTTTTCTTGGTTTGTTGTCATATGCGAAAATGTGATGCTATATAGTGATTAATTTTTCATTGACAAAGAAAACAATAGTTGAGTAACGCATGTAGATCCTCTTTATGAAAAAGTGTGCGAAACTATTCGTGGCGTGGTTATCTTTATAATTTGGGTAAATGGAAATAGATCTGAGCTTACCTCGGTAGTGTGGCAAAGTAGCTCCATAACCATAAGGGCTGCTGGATGTCTTCGTCGTGGAGCGGCTTGTTGTCGATGCAGTTGATACGCCAGATCGTATATTTCTGAACATGTCCTTTTTCCTGGGATCATCCCTACCTGCGACTCCCAAATCTGTCCTGTACACCAATGCCGATCTCTACAAAGACAACGACCAAATAAATGTACAAATTATTTCTCAAATAAATATGCAAATATCCGACTTCTAAGTTATTCTTATCACAGGTATAAATTCTTACGGAGGCATTTTGCTGAGCGATTGGATCCCTTGAGCGGAACAGAGCTCCTGAAAACAATAATTACGACATTTTTTAACATTTGACAATTGATTGAAGTCCTGAATGAATAAAATGTATAACTTTCATTACATGTGAACTTGATTAATAATTAGTTTTTAAAAATTCGCCGTGCTCATGACACATGAAACAAAAGGACTTGACTTGCATTCCATCGTTACTTTAGTCTTAACATAATACGTATTTGTGTCATTTTGAAATGTGAATTATAATAAATAGTACTTACCAGAGTTCCGATCTCTTCTGTCAGTTTCATGTCTCCACTCATGCACCCCCAGTCTTTGCATAAAACTGTCTTTGACCCTTTTGTTTAAAATGCAGTACCCCAATGCCACATAAATGCTAAGTATTGCCACTGCTACGGCAATTGCAAACTGCCACACGGCACTCCGTTCATTAGCCCCCAGTAAACACAAGGCCCACACCATTCCGCAAACTACAAATAAAAAAGTAGTAAAAATTACGACATTAATCCAAACTAGCTAAATAAGTACATAGTCGAATGCTAGAAAACTTACTGGGCAGAAGGGTTAAATCCATCCATAGTAAGGTCCTGTGACACAAAGAACAAATTAGCCATCCATAACAAAATATACTTTCCACACATTTCCAACATGAACAGCAACGGATTTCTTCAGATTTAGACTTATCGTTATTGTCATAAAAATTATTCTTAAATAATTTAGACTCACGTTAAACATAATTTGCATCTATTTATATGTGCCACAGATGGACAAATATCAGATTATGTTATGAGCGACAAGTTGACTACAAGAATTTGCAAAGTAAAAGAATCAAATTTTTACGAAATTATGACACGCAACACTATTCAGTCTGGTGCGAAATGTCAAACATGCACATAAAGTGGAAATATTTAAACTAAATATGGACATTTTTGCTATATTTCCAGTAAATTAGATCCACTTGTTGCATTTACATATAGGAGGTAACATGTGTGAAATTATAAGTGTTATGGGGTTCGCTTGAGATAAGAAAAAATTTCTGTTGGCAAATATACATATGACGACATCTTGTACGTACCTCATGTTTCCAGAATCGACAACCTGGTCTTTAAGAGTGAAGGCTGCCCTTACAGCAAGTAAAAAGATGAAAAGAGTGGCGAGCACACACACCAAAATGGGGCCAACCATCCCCCAAACTATGCCTTCATATAAGGATAACCAGCAGCTGTAAGATAACAAGTTGCGCAATATTAATTTTTGAATCTCATTTAAAATCCTTTACAGTGCTTAACTAGCACAAGATTTTTAAAATCAGCAAGACTCACAAAAATCGATTTCCATAATGGTGAGCCCTGACTCCCAAGCTGAGAGCCACGCACAGGAGCGGAAATGCGTAGCCCAGGGCGAAGTAGAAAAGTGATGACCCGTGATTTACATCTCTTACTTCGGTAAACATTCTAAAAATAAATCATGATTTGTTTTGGTCATGTTTGGTCATTATGTGTGCGAATAATAAATATGTATGATGCCTATAATTTCACCTTCGAAGATGAATAGCAGATCCAAATAGCCATGAAAATGTGGCAAGCCAAGTGGCATGAAGACCTGAGAATATGTTTAAGAGTATTATTTTTTGCGGTGCTAGAGATAGTCTCTAGATAAAAAAAAACTCACCAATAGCTAACGCCCGACAAAGATTATCATTTGCGACTAATATCAATCTTAATTTGAGAGCGATGAGATAGAAAAGGAGAGCAGAGAAGATTGAGAGTAATAAATGCTTGTGGATCGTGTTGGTGATGGTTGAAGGCACAGGACCTTGCAGGATGCCGAGTCCAATCAGTGCTCCGAAAATAAGTGTTAGTGCCACCACAAATGAGACATACGTGACTATGTCTTCGATTTGTCCTGCTCTGGGTATATCCTGTCAAAGCATCAAAACAAGAGTTAGAAATAACTAGAAACAAATGAGACAATAGTTTGACCAGAAGGCGATTATCTCAAATTTATTTACTGGCTGGTGCCAGTTAAGTAGTTGAGGCGTTGGGATATTGTTTGGTATCCAACTAATAGGAATAGGAATTTATATCAAATTTTTAGATCTTTACCTGAGTATCATTGTTTTCAATAAGAACAGCAAATGTGGATAGATGCCAACATGTACAATTGACAGTCATCATGTTTCCAACAGACCTAGGAAAAAATTTCTCTCTTTATTACATATGAATACATATATATAGTGCACATTTGTAAGTAAATCAACCCTTCTTTGAACAGGTGCAAAGACTAAAATTGATCTTACTCAATAAAACTGTAAATACTTTGGACTAAAAATTTGCTTAGTCACTCGGACGAAAAACATGACTTAAATCAATTAAATCTCACTTGGAAATGTACTGCTCCTCCACTTGAGTCTGGCAGGGCCTTGATGTCCACCCCCCATCATCCGATGAAGAGTCATCCAGAATTGTAGGGAAACCAGTAAAAGGTTGTTTCAAACCCGTGGGTTCCTGCCACACTACGCATTGTGGATTTGAAGAATCTATGTATCGTCCAAAAATTTCATAAATGAGGCGAACTGGAGTAGTTTGCCGTCCGGAAACTAATCCTTGTCGTGATGCCAAAATTGCAAGGGATACGACAGGTGGAGAAGCCACTAGTTCAGAATTGAATCTTCGATCCACGTCATTCATAAACTTTTTCGGTAAAACATCCCACAAAGAATAATACTCTGTGAATCCAACAACCGCATTCCCGGCCATGTCTATAATAACAATATCACATCAAAAAACCTCTCTAACCAGGTAAAGTATGTATGTAAGAGTAAATTTGTAATCGCAATTTTTCACCTTTCTCATCCTGAAGCCCCAAAATATCTAAAGGAATGATAATTTTCAAGCCTTTTGGATATCGTCTAGGATCCATCACGATGTTGTCGTATTTTGGGAAACGAACAGCCCTTTTTGTAGTTGACGTGACTTCGTACAAGTCATAATTTGATTCAACAACTAGGTCCTCAAAATTTTTTCTCCCTTCATTTTCCCATGTTAGTTCAACCGTATCCAGTCCCATAACTTGACATAAACATAAATAATATACATACTCATCGGTATTTATAACTGTATTATGAATTGAATGTGAAAAGTTACTCATATTGTTTGAAAGGATTTCAAATGGCTTGGTGAAAGTGTCTTCCTGATTCAGGACAAGATGTGCCAAATATTTCTCCATTAAAGCCAGCAACGAATCGGAACCGCTGCCATATGTCCGTCGCAGTCGATTCCACTCATGAACGTACTCCTTGGAGGTCACTTTCCCAACAGAAGTTATAATGTTCTATAAGAAATAGTACAAATACCACCTCATGTTCATACCATCATGTACTAATTAATAATTTTAGTCCGCATTGTGCATAATCGTAAAATACGTACCTTAATAAAATTTTTGTCTTGTCGATGACTTAGATTCAATCCTGACTGTTTGGTTTCATGTACAATAAGATGCGTCAGCATTCTTAGTGAAATCCACAAATCATTTCCATAAAGTTTGTGAGATATATTCAAAGCTTTCGTGAGATCTGCAGCCAGTTTGGTTGAGAGGAGTGGTGCCAACGGCAAGTCCTTAGAATCCAATTGGGAAACAGTGTTCACGATGGAGATGAAGGAATTTGAAGTACAATTAAAGAGATCAGGGGAATTCCATCCTTCAGAAGAACAACTAAGCAAAATTTTCAATTAGATAGTGTACAGGATGAAAGTGTTACGTATATTGTCGATAGTAAATACCTTCTAGTTGCAAGCCCAACGGCGCCGTTTGGACAATCATGTACAGAAACCAAATTGAACTTTGTTCGTGGCCACCATACTTCAGAAGAAAAGGCTCGCGGACAGCCATCTCGGACAACTGAAAAAAGTTGAGGGGATTTTTTTTTTACTTTAAGCTACTCGAACCTGAAATGGCTATGAAGCACCAGTTAAAACGTTAACTAACCTTCACAGCCTTTCGTAGTAACCTCAGCAAAAGAATTGAGACAACTGTCGCACCTAAATATTTTCACATGCCCAATAAAAATATGTTCCACTCAAACTCTATCAATAAATAAATCCGTACTTTGTCCCAACCACGCCAGCTCTACATTGACATTTTCCAGTGTCAGGATCACAATTTTTGCTCACTGACCCCGTACCATAACACAAACAGTCTTTGCAAACGCCATCCTTCTCATAGTGATATTCCTGAAAATGCAACAAACACAATCATTTAAGTATGAATTTTGTTGTCAAGTATTGGGCGTACATATCGTAGAGTCTTTTCTGACCTTGCATCTACATTGCCCAGTCTTTTTGTTACAGTCTGGACTAAAGTTCTTATCAGCTGGACACGAACAAGGTCCTATGTGCCAGATGTTATTTTGGATCAAATCATTGTTTCAAAAATAAGTCATTATAAAGTTGTAAAGGAAATCAATGTACCACAAATAGGCCAGCCCCACCAAGTCGAAGGACATGAGAGTTCCATTTGTTTTTCACAATAATCTCCGAGGAACAACCTGTCGTCGCACTGGCATCGATAACCTCGCTCTGTTGTTAAATCCATAATGCAGGTCCCGTTATTCTTACACATTTTAAGAGAACAAATGGGAACACATTTATCTCCTGCAATCATATTAAGTATCTCAGTCATTAAAACATGCAAAACCTTAAAATTCATTTATGCAAATGTGTACGTATGTTTTTTGCACTCACCCACATATCCAGGATCACATTGACATTTATGTCGTCCACCTTCCTCAACACAAGTTGACCTCTGTGGACAGATTGCACCGACGCACGCAGCTGCTAAACTGCACCCTTCGTTTACACCCTTCTCGCTTTCCGTCTTCCTCAAGTAGTTCTTGGCACTCCCAACCCGAACATCTTGAACACATCCTGCCATGGAAGATTCTGGCAGAGATCCTCCTGCCGAACTTCCGATCACCACTGTGGTCACATGCAGATTTTGCATCTTTGCTTCAAAAGGTACCGTGACTTCAAATTGTCCATAGTCCAGCGAAAACCATATTTCTGCTGTCATCCACTTTGCTTCAATATTGTGCCACTGGGAAAAATATTTAAATGTGAAATTTATTGCCCTGGTCAGTACCTTCTACATACCTTCATTAATGTGCAATTTTGAAACTTACATGACCATCATTTATTTTTGGTAGGGTAACAGGGATGGATTGTTCATTGTAGTAGTAGTGGACCAGTCCGTCGTCCAAGGTGATGGAAAGACTCTCATTGTTGCTCAACTTGATTGCCATTAATTTTCCTGATTTCTTGAGTGTTCTAAGTGAAATCGAGTTGTACCAGGGGAACTGAATTTGACGGAGTTGAGGGGTGAATGAAATGTGGCTGCTATCATCTCGGAGATTCCACACAGGTTTCGCGTCTGAGTAGAATTAATTTTTGGTCAATAAATTCAAAGGACTAGAATAATTATGTGTATGATGAGACTGTTGCTACCTTCTGAACAATCTTTCTGACCCCACCCGTCATTACATTGACAAGCATACGTAGTCCAGCCATCGATACATTTCCCTCCATTTTTGCACGGATAAGATGCACAAAAATTATTTTTCTCCGGACAGCCGTTGTTCGTCCCCATTTCCATTATGTAACTTTCGTGGTGAAATTAAAATGAATAACAATCATAAATTTCCGACTCCTCAACAACTTACAAAATTCCATATACAGGTAAATGTCTTACTTATTCATGTCCACAAATTTATAATTGATGAATACATTCTTGACACATCCTACAAAATCATGGGTTTGAATTGTGTTAGGAGAGTTGCTAGTTGGCAATCCTCCAATGTAAAGTGGTCCAGTCAGGTCCAGAAAACGCTGGCAGGACTCCGTCAATGAGGAGCATCGGTCTTCTAAAATACCCGAATAATACCCATATTTGAGTGAAAAATGTAAGTATTAAATGTCATTACTTATATTAATTCAGACCCAGGTCCCCTTCACATTAATTATATTTATTTCGTAAAATCATACCTAGGATGTGTAACCCTCTGCCTGCACAAGACTTTGCTGGTGGAAATTCATCGGGGTTCTCCAGAGTCACAATCACGTCGCAATTGTCCAAGCTTAACGTTGCCGTCTAAAAAGAATTATTTAATACCCAATTATTTAATACACAATTATTTAATACCCAACTTATCAACACATGTACATATGCACATAGTTATGAACACAAGTTGAAGAGTGCTTAAAAACGCACTATTGCTGGTAGAAAATTAGTCGTATGTACCTTATTGAAGTATTCTACTCGAACAGTGTGCCAAAGTCCGTCCGAGACAGGACTTCCCGTTTCCACCACTGGTGAATGTTAAATCAATTTCATTATATTCACTTGCTTATGAAATTAACTAATTTAACTATGATACGAATTTGATGAGATGATGAGTAAAGCAGGATGAGTTTAAAATAAACCATAAAGAGGGTACTAAAAATAAGTACTGTCACCTGTCACATTGTTGGAGCCCAGTGAAAAGCTGAACCTGACCACCGAATTCACAATTTCTGCAACAATGATAATTAGATTGGATTTTAGCTGCATCAATTTATTAAGCAAATTCTGTAGTCTTATACCATTAAAATTTAAGAATCTCATAATTCAAACGTTAAAAAAGTGAACTCACCCAATGCAATAAAGTCATATCGCTCTTGAAACCGCCCGTTGTACATTAGAAGCCCGTTTTTCTGTTGACTTGCAAATGAAATCTCCAAGTGCAAGCGAACTCTGTCCTTCAGTCCTGGGAAAATAAGAAAGCTTCCACGAGAAAATGAACGAGCAGTTAGTTCGCATAAGGAATTAACATATTCCCCTCGAGTGCAATTCTGGCAAAGGAATCCCCCTCGAAGTCGTGGCGTACAACTGCTTCCACTACTACAAATGTTGGGCTGACATGTATCCAACTCCAACTGAATTTGACCTGGAATGACAACAAATGTTATGCACCATATTTCTAATTGTATTCTTCTTCAATTTGATACACACTCGGTTATTGTAAAATAATATTTGATAATTATTATTTTTTAATGTTCTTACATTGTTTGCCCGTAGTCTGAAAAGTAAAATTGTAAAATTTATAAATATGTGTATATGCATGTATAATTATACATATGAAGCCATGAGTTTCAATGCAACTGCCAATGCAATTATATCAGACTAATAATTTGTCTCGACTTGTCCCTGCTCATATGAATGTTATACAATTATAGGTTCGAAATTAAATAAACCATTTGGATCAATTTACAAATGACGCAAATTTCTGAAACAATGACATTCGAATAAATGTGCTATTGGAACTGTGACTCTCACATGCAAATACTAATAAAGGCGATAAACATGGAACGCATACGCCAAGGACAAAAGGGGAAGTTTTTCAAATAAACTTACTCCAGGGGGACACACGCATGAATATCCACCTTCTCTTTGGTAGCAAGTTCCCCCATTGGTACAAGGAGATGAAAAACAGAGGTTGATCTCCGCGTCGCACAGGTAGTGTTCTCTCAATCCAGTGAAACCGACTCCACATCGACATGAAAAGGCTAAAACGAAACAGAAAATTGGGAATATCAATATATTTATTTAAACAATTAGGAATTGATTTCTTCAAGGGAAACATAAAACAAGTGGGAATACTACTCCGGGATAGCTTACTTTGCCAAGGATGAACAGACCGGAAAAGCATGGACTCGGTCGCTACAAAGTTTGAGACATTGCGGAATTTGAGAACTACCAGACATTCTTCAAAATTTAGACAAGGTTCTTGAAGGCACAGGTCGTCGCTGAAGGGAAGAACCTGAAAATATAAAATGTACGAAACCCATCAATATATGTAGTACATAAAACACAGCAAAGTTATTTGGGTTTCACAATGTTTCAGAAGGTGTGAGCTAGGTCTGGAAATAAATACATAAAGAAATTACATTCCCATCACCATCACCGGCCTTATCTTTGGTGGCTGTAGTCACCCATTCATAAATAAATATGAGACGATAAAAGCATATCATCAGCCTCGTGAAAAACAAATGCAATCAGGTTAATTGCCTTTTATTGATTTCCAATATTTCCACGATACGAACACGTATCCAGTCAGTAGTAGTATGTACTTACGAAGCGTAATAACTTCCTAATTTTGGTCAAAGATCCTACTCTGCAGACCAAATGCAAGCCTGTAACTGGCTCGAACGCCCTTCATTACTCTGTCATCACATTCTCCCAACATTAAAAATAAATGCGAGAAAAGCTCTAATTTACAAAAGTTTATATCCTCGTTATGTATTTATTAGCAGCAAGGATGTTGTGAGAGGATGGGTGAAAGTGGTGAGAGTTCAAGATCTAATTTCTCACGTATATTTCTATATGTATGTGTTTGGATGCGTGTCACTATAGCTGTACGCCAAGCAGCAACACTCGCTTTGCCGTTAAAGATCGAAGAACCTTTCCGTAATTTCAGCCATACCGCAAGGCACGTGGTACAATGGGATAATTATTACTGAATTTACGGTAACTGGATTTTCCTCGTCTCAACTTGTCCCACCGAGCAGGGAAGAACATGAATGGGATCAAAGCATGGATAGGTGGAATTGAGAGAGCAATGCGTGCGTATTATTTTTGAAGGAAGGAGAGGGTGACGAACATGGGTGTGAGAAGCCCAAGTTTTTACGACGAGTCATAAAGGAGGAGAAAGTGAGGGGCTAATAAAAAGTGGGAGAAAATGAACTCGGCCGCCGTTGCCACTTACATCAACTCCGATGGCAAGTTTGCTGAGGGTGAGGCGATTGAGAAAGACGCGTTCCTTGATGTAGTCCGGACTGAAGTATTCCTCGGAGGAGGTGGATGAGGAGGGTCTTCGGGCTGACAGGCTCACGTTCAAGGTCCCACGAGTCCCTTCTATTTCCTCCTACAAAGCAAATTACATTCAGACAAATTTGTAGGTACGCTATTTATTTCTTCCTGACACATGACGAACACAAAAGTTGATCATCAGTGCTGACTTAGCTTGTCACCAATATGTGTTATAAATACGTTGATGCTTTCACCATCGGGTATGCCCCACTCCATGCTACACAGGAGTGCTTACTTAAGAGTGATCTTCTAAAAAGGGGCACAATGCGACATTTATGATATTTCATACAAAAACTATGCTAGCCTTGGATGATTTCATAGCATTCTTCTATGATCACTATTAATTTCCATCTTGCAAGACAGCAAGCTTTTCCATGTATGAGTTTACCATCAGAATTTGACGTGGACGAGTTAGTTTCAAATAAATACGTACCTGGACGCTGAAGATGACAATGTTTTCTTTTGGAACATTGAGGATAACGGCGACTGCTTGAAGGAAATGATTGAATAAAGGAGACAAGAACGCTTCGGTCGTCATATCGGCCAATTGGATCGTCACCGAATTGAAGAGCAGCTCATCCGTTATCATTCGGGTCTGAAGGGGAAGTATTTATCATTAAATTTTAGGAATAAGTTATTAGAACCGATTCAAATTTTAAATCTAATTGATTTACTACATACATTATGTTATAAATTACGAAATAAATCATCTTACCGAAATAATCATTTCGGATCGTACTTCATTTAGACCATCTGAGAAGAATTACAAAATCATTAATAATTTCGTAGATTTAATTTAAAGTAATCTCCAGCTGTGTTCGCCCAACCGCACACTGGTGACTCGCTGTCGAGATTTACAAACGTTCGAGTTTATTGCCACCGTGAAGTGACAATGAGCAAGCGATTGGTAGCAATAACTCCATTAAGGAAGACGACGGAGCATTGTGTTTGTAATACTAGATTTATTTTTCCCTCTAAAATTTTCACCCTTATTACATGAAATTTGCTACTCAAAAACTCATCAAATATTACTACAACTCTTTCACAAAGCTTTGGAGTTACAGTTTCTGTTTTCTGAATTGAAAAATTAATCCTGTTCGCAGATGACAAAATTCTGAATATAATAGAGAATAATGTAAAGTCATCTAGTTCTGATGAGATTTTAATACCCATGAAATGTTTGCATCATGAACCGACTCTAAACTGTGCATACAACCGGATCGAGAATGCAATGATAGACATATTTAATTTAAAAACATGACATTTCAAATATTTGCTGACCTGAGACGACAATCTCCATTTTTGCATGTAGTGGAACATTCGAGTCCAGAAATGGCGAGAGAGTAATCATTCCATTAGGGTCCAGATAAACGAGGTTAGCTTTATTTCCACTCACAATTGTGTAGTGCAACTGGGTGAGGCACAAGAACTAGTTAGTTTCATCATGTTACTGCATAGAAATGTCACTATTTAGCTTAGAAAGCAAGAGAAAGGTGCTGGATAACAGATGCATTAATGTTATCAGGCACGAGATGGTTTCAGAATAGATTTTCAAGCAAATGGGGAGACGCAGATTAGGGCAGTCAGCGGGGGAAGAACAAGGAAGGAAGGCAAACAATGCAACAATGGAATCAATTTGAATAACTAAACTACTTCCGCTTCGAATGACTTATTTTGTTTGAACCAAAAAGGGAAGGGTAAGGTTTGCTTGAGTTCATAAGCTGGGCTACGTACTAATTTGTTTTCTGAAGTAATAGTTTTGAATGAATGGAGACGGCGAATATAATCACAAATTTAGTTTCGATTCATCTGGCATTTTGAGTAAATGTTCAAGAATGAGTGGAAAGCGCAAGGTTTATAGTTAAATTAGTTATGCATGCAAGGCGTATGCAAATAGCCTCATCGACATAAGCTCAAATTTCTGACTCATTCACCTTATCGCTGATATCCGCATCGACAGCCGGCACTTGTCCAATTGCACCAACCGGGAATTGGTCCTTGTAGTTGTTGAGAATAATGTGGAACTGGTTCTTGATCATAGGAGCCTGTTGGCGTTATGTAAATAAGGAAATGTCAGCTTTGATTATTTTTCCGCAAACACTAAAAATATTATACTAACATTATCATTCGTGTCAACCAAGTGAATTTCCACGTGGACGTCATTTCTTAGGGGAGGTGATGCCGCACGAACGATAATGTCAAATCTGAAATGAATTATCATAATTCAATTATGATAATTTTCATCCAAGAGTTAGCATGTTGTCATTAAAGTTAAGCTTTTGGAATGTTTGGAATGGAATATGTACTTTTTTCTCGGGGACTCGTAATCCAATTCAATCCTTGTAAGAATGTCGGCAGAAGCAGTGGCTGCTGTGCCTTCAGACCCATCCCCACCAATGCCTCCACCAGTTGGTTGTGGGTGAGAGTTGAGGGTGAAAGAATTCGCTATGATTGGAGAAAGGGGACTTAGGCAAATACAACTATGTGACGACATATCATGTGCATAATTAAGTGATACCTACCATCAACTCCTCCCACGATGGAGAAGATAATCTGAGCATTTTGTCCTTCGTCTGTGGAAAAATACACGAGTTATTGTTATTTGGTGACTTTCTGAATAGGGCTGGGTTTTATTTATGAAGAACTTTATCCATATTATGGTGTGTATATGCATTTATGATACATTTACGTAGCTATTATGTCTGAGCTGATTTGCCAATACCATTACTTTAGAAGACTTTTGTGTACCTTGATCTGATGCTTTCAATGTCCCCACTACGGAACCGATGGGGGAGTTTTCTTGAATAAACAGTCTTATTCTATCTGACTCAAATTGGGGAGGGCTATCATTCTTGTCTGAAAAAGTTGAAAATTAGCAAATATAGATAAACTAATTTAGCAGAAATTTGCATAAAATGATTTTATTTTGTAAAAAAAATTCAAAAATGTATATGGCAAAAACTGATACCTTGAACTGCGATGGTCACATTGGTTTTCCCGGACAGCGGGGGAGTACCTTGGTCAGTGGCTAGTACCATTAAGTCGTACCTTCGGAATTCAATTCATTGTAAGATAAGATGCACGATATATGATAACCCAACCTAATCTTCCTACATACCTTCCCACGGCTTCCCGATCAAGCGGTTTTATGGTCCGGATTATTCCAGAGGCTGGGTCAACGCTGAAGGTCTAAAGTAGGATGAACATACATAAATGGTAGATTTGTATGGGTGAAATTGAAGTTTAGGTCGGTTTTGAACTATATTTAAAGAAAACTATAGATGAACTTACCCCATCACCGTCCGAAAACGTGGAGAAGCTAAATCTAATGATACTGTTTTTTCCTACGTCGCCATCCTGACATGCACATACACAAGACATTATGTCATTGGGATACGAAAATACTCACAATTATGCTATTTACAAAAAATCGTACCGACGCTGCAACTTGCATAATTGAACTTCCTACTGGAACATCTTCATCAATCTTTGCATGATAGTACTCCCTCTCAAATGTGGGCTGGAGATCGTTAACATCTATGCGCAATTATGGAATAAAATTTAGTTGCATTACAAAGGCTGAACGGTCGAAAAAAAGACCACTTGAATATGACTCTAAAATCTGTACATTATGGTATCGTGATCTTCAAAAGATGGGAGAGTATAAAATTATTGTTAGGCTTACCGTTCAGCACAATTTCCACGTCCGTGGTATCGGATAGTGGGGGAATGCCTCGGTCTCGAGCATTCACGGTCAGAATATAGCCAGGCACCTTTTCTCGATCCTAAAAGAAAACATCGCATGATTTGATGCTCGTGATAACATTGGCATAATTACAAATATTTCAACACACACTTACCAACAACTGACTCGTCGTAATCTGTTAAGAGACATAAAAATATTTAGTTCTTGCAGTCTTATACAGGAGACCCAGTAATATCAAGCAATTGAAAATATCAGAGACTTTCGAGTAGATACATTAAATAATCACTTAATTATTGACAAAATAATTAAGCGCAACCAAGCTTGATTTGCTTAGCTGAAAGTATAATCTGAGAAAGCTGGAGGCTGGTTGTATCAAAAATCCCCAGCCTCCCCGAGAAAGTACTTATATTCCGAAATATACTTTCACCCAAGCAAAGATCCCTGTAATGCATGGTGAGCGACTAAAATTCTGAGCGAACGTATAAGATTTTTGCGTTTAAGATCAACAAAAACTTACTGCTCCAGTCGTTGAGTCAATCATAAAATTATCCACATCGTTATCGCCGCCGTCATTCACAAATGTGTAAATTATCTGTGCATTTAGTCCAGAGTCCTGAAAAGACAAAAAATAAGCACGTCTCACTTTTACCGTCAAGTCTCAAATTCCCATTAGAAGTCTCAATATTAACACGTAATGAGCAGAATAGAAATTCACATGTTCCTACCTGGTCAGTGGCGAGCACATTGAGAACTGTAGTGCCGATGGGAACATCTTCGAATATTTTCACAGAGTAGGGTGTGTTCTGGAACTGAGGCGGATTTGTGTTGGCATCGCTAAAGGTTATTACAAATACAGCTTTGGGATTGAAATTACAAATTAAATTCAACCCAACATTGCCAAACATGAAAAACGCATGGACAATAATGGACATGATGAAATCACTGAGGAGGGAAAGTTTAATGGTGAAAGCAGCATTTTGTTCTTTACTTTCTGCACTCAGACTCGTGAAACCAGGTTTCATTACTTTCACTGGTCACACATGGTCACACAGTGTATAGACTGGATAATAGTGGTGGGGTCTTACCTCACTTCCACATAAACTGTGGCCAGATCAGACTTTCCTCCGGAATCGGTAACACGAATTGTGAGGACATATTTTCTTTCAGACTTGAAATCCAGTGGTTGAGCGATGGTGATGATCCCTTCTCCGTTTTGAGTTGTGATTGAAAACCTGGAACGAACATTGCCTTCGGCTATTTCATAAGTTAGCCTCGAGTTCTCATCCGGATCGGTAGCTTTCACCGTTACAACGGGAGTCCTAAAAGTAAAAGTAAACTGGTGACTAATTCTGCAGGGCTTGGAAAGACCGTCACCGGATAAGGCGGCTTCGTAAATAAATTGGCTACAGCCCTGATGCATAACTTACCCAGGTGCATCCAACTCAGATACTTGATTTTCATACAGTTTAGGGTCGAACGTGGGATTGTTATCATTGGAGTCCAAAACTAAAATCACTACACTTGCTGTCGCACTCAACGGTACATTTCCGGAATCTGCAGCAATCACTTCAAAATCGTAACGAAATTGTTCTTCCCTGTCTAACTCACGGTTCGTTTTAATCCATCCCGAATCGGGCTCAATGTCGAAAGGAAATTTCTCTGTACTTTCTCTGTACGAGAGACGATAATAGATTTTGGCATTGTCGCCATCATCAGGATCAAATGCCTGGATTCTCAACACTGAACTTTGAAGGGGCAAGTTTTCTAGGACTGTCTCTTGGAATATTTGAGAGTAAAACCTAGAAATCATTAACAGAAGCAATCAGCATATTATTATAACGAAATGTATATGCACGTAGATACATATGCAATATGAATATGCACATAATGTAAATGCCAACGAACTTTTGGTTTCGTTAAAGAACTTTAACTCTGGCAAAATAATAAAGAAATATGTAGGTACAGCTAATTTGCATATTAATGGCAGAACACAGAGTTATAAAACGGAGGACAAACATGCAATGCCATAAATATATACATTCATACAAATTCCAAAGATTATGCATAAATCGCAACATACCGAGGGGGAGAATCATTCTGGTCTTCGACCATCACTGCCAGTATAGTATTGTTTGACCGAGTTGGGTTTCCAGCGTCTAAAAAATGCAACAACGATATGCATGTAATCGGTAGAATAGCAAACAACATGAGACAAGTACAATTACACACGTTTTAAGAATTTAATTGAAACATGTAAACGTAAACAATCAAAAATTTGCAAGCAGTGTGCAGTAATGTAGTGAGTAATTTCATGATAGAAATTCTCAAAGTATATTCTTTAACCAAAGCGTTTTCTCTTACCAATGGCACGGACATTAAGACGATAACTTCGGGTAGATTCATAATCCAAGCTTTAAGAATAACAAATATTATCATCCATAATTTATAACGTAGAAGTAATTTATAATTTTTCTCTATTAGAAATCATCATTACCTTTTTGTTAGACTGATTTCGCCAGTAAGACTGTCAATTGAGAAAATATTCTGGGTGTTGCCACCAATAATAGAATATCTCAGGGCCGAATTTACACCCTCATCCGCGTCAGTAGCACTGTTTTATACCCATGTTTTAAAAATAACTTAAAAGAATGAGACATTATTATAGCTGAACTGCACAGTAATTACCTAACACGTGCGATAACGGGGTAGTTCGAAACATCCACATTTTCTGGAATACTGACATTATAGAGTCGTTGCGTCCATTGTGGCCTGTTGGAAAACACACGTGCAAATTGTTCAAAATTGTACACTCCTCGGCTCATGTCGTGAACTTTAATGTGAACTTGATGAACAAGGGGAGCGGAATTTAATCGTCGTCATATTATCAAACCCCCGTTACTGTGTTGGTAAAGAAATTCCTCCAAGCGCAAACTGTTATCAGAGCTTCAAATGTGCGTGAAAATATGTTAAAAGCCATTTTCTCGCCCGCCTTGAGCGAGAACTTTTTGAATAAAATGGTCATAATATTATTACGACACTTGAGGAGAGCACAGCTTATTACACATGCATATCACATACATATGCACATGCCATGCGTAGATACTATCCAACCGGGTTACATATGCACATATGTATGTACTTGAAAATAAGACACTTGAATTTCGTATTCGGATGAAGATAAGTGCGTACTTGCCGTTTCATTTTTCACAAGAGACTTTTTCAACGAGCTAGATAACATGTTGCAATTATCTCAATAGCCAAATTCCGGAAGTTTTAAAGTGGAGTTGGATGGATAATATTTGGGTATGTACATTTGTATGTACATTTGTATGTACATAAGTACGAGTGTGGACAAAATTGAGACGACTGTGGAGTGGACACAGAATATTTGTTAATCTAACCGTGGTTGGCTAAATAAATATGTATGACTTTTATGTTAATCAATGAACTTAATTGAAAGCTAGTAAAATTCCAAGACGTATCATAATTTTGACAAATACTACTTATTATTAGAAGACTTATTATGAGTTTACGATTCAAAAGCATTTTCTCTCACCAATTGTCATTATCGTCCAAGATTTCCACCCGAACTGTAATTATTTATTGATAATTTACTACCGTATTAATTTAATATTACTAATAATTTGATTGCACCTGTGGCCGTTGCAGATTTCCTGTCCACCTGGTTTGGTGCTAAATCCGATGCCTGGATTATGAGAGTGTACTCATCCCTCTTTTCTCTGTCGAGGGCCAGTTTTGTGGTAATAACACCCGAGTTGGGATCGATGCGAAAAGTGTCGTCAATATCATGTGGGTTGAGAATTGAGTAGTGAATGTCGCCATTTTTATCAGTGTCTTGATCTGTGGCTGTAGAAGAGAGACAAATGTCATGTAATGGGGCACTTGACATCTTGAGATGCCGGAAACTACCACGTGGGAGGGACTTACCTCGAACACTAAGCACTGTGTCCCCTACGGATAACCCTTCTCGCACAGACACCGAGTAGGCAGCGTGCTCAAATAACGGCCCCCAATCGTTATAGTCGGATACCAAAATCTGAGAATAAGCAGGAACACGTAAGCATACAAACAGAACTTTTATGGTATTAGATATTATCAGTAGAACCACAATTAATTCACATTTTTCAGGTAAATAAATGTCATAAAAATTCCAAAGATTGCGACTAACGAGTATTCACATAATGCCGACATGTATGTGAATCTCTCGAATATGCAGATCGCATGAAAATCTTAATGATAAGTGTTTAATGATCATCCGGATTGAAGGAGGAATGCTTTACTAGCTCAAGAATTTTGATGAACTTGAAATGAACCAGACAGACATATTATATAAAATAAAATATTTGTGCAGGATATATTGTAGCGACAACTTTGACTTGTAATCAAAGAAAGTGATACTAAATATGAAGAGTTCAAACCACAACTAACAAATACTGATGCAGTTGCATGTTCATTTTGTAATTAAGAAGATGGAATGAAGTTGAAGATTATTATGCCGTCGGGATTCTATCTGTCAAAAAAGTTTAGAACAATTTTCGGCGAAAGTCGTGGTAATATTTAGTAAATTTTAGTGCTGCATGTGCAAAGCAAAAATGGAAGAATGGCCAACCTGTAGAGTTCCAGTCCCAGTTCGAGGTGGAATGCCGGAATCAGTAGCAACAATGCGAAAATAATGAACATCCATCCGTTCTCTATCCAGCTTTTCCACCGTGGTCACGATCCCGGATTTTGGGTCAAGCGCAAAAAATTGCTGAGATCTTGCGTCCAATAAAGATGTCATTGAATACGAAAGAGGGGAATTCTCTGGATCAGATGCAGTTATAGTGGTCACTGTAATGCCGGGTGGTTGCTCTTCCGGGACTGAAGCAATGTACAGTGGTTGATCAAAGAACTGAAAGTCATATTAACCATGAATTATTACTACAAAATTTCCGTATTATTTTTTTTAATAATCATGAAATTCGTACCGGGGATTGATTTTGCATCTCCCTCCTTATCCGATGTATTGGATGGAAGTCCATCAACGAACCACCCCCTCCTCCACTGTGCAGTATAAGATGAACCATTTGGTCCCAGGACATTACACTTTCAGGAAGCAGACTTCCATCTGTGGAACAGTTGAGATGAAGCACTAATTGAATAGTGTGGTATCCTGGTTCAAATAAACACCAGTCCCGTCTTAACACAATGTCATTAGTGGACGCTTGAACGCCCCAAGTATGCTCGTCACCCGAAACACTAGCTTTCACCCCACACTGCGCTTTTACACTGGAAGGAAGAAAGTCGTAAACATTGCCAATCTTCTCAGAAGAGTGAAAACAACGATCATCCCAGTTTATAGGGAGCGCAACATAAATATCATCCACCGTCCGGGAAATGGAAGTCAGTTCATTTCCACTTTCTCCTGTAGAAGTTGAAGCTCCTTCTTTACTTAGGGTTCCCACCGGTGAGTTTTGATTGCATTCATTAGACTCCTTCAAGATGACCGTGATGGGGAAGGAGATGCAGTCATAAAATTGTCTGGCCAGCTCATTCTTTAATTGTGCTGGGCTTTTTCCAAACTGAAGACTGTCCTCCTCGTGCTCGCCTGCTTGTTTTTGCCCAAGTGCAGATTTTGCGACGATGTCGACATAGACAATGAAAGTAGATGGGAAGATGTGTGATAGTTGACATTTGTGGGCATAATTTCGTCGAAACATAAGTTGTCCATCAGAATCGAGGCGGAGGAGTCGATGCACCCAGGGTTGTGTTTTGTGGTAAGAGATTCGATACTGGTAGTGCCATTGGGTGGTGTTATAGGAACTGCCCCCCGCATCAGGGGGAGGAGGAGGTAGTTGGATTTGGGAGTCGAATAAAATCCAGCCTTCGACTCTATTTTGATCCGCGACAACGACAAATCCCTCGCCAGACTTTAAAGATATCACAATTAAGAAGGGGATTGCCAATTTCCAGGGGCTTGTTGTTAGCCCCATGTTTAATTTTCAACTTTATCTTCCTTTAAAAACTACTTCATTAATATGGTTAGCGTTTTAATTCTATCCGAATCGATGCGTCGGATCCATTTCCCGGTGTTGTAAATTGCTTACACACTAAAACCCACACGGGGGTCGTCCCCACACTAAAATTACTTGCAAAATTATTACAAGTGGTTTATTTTTTTACTACTACATTTTCACTGCATTCCAAACCTCACGATGTTTCCCAGAGGTTCACAAAGTTCACTTTGTGCCTTTGAATGAACTAAATTCACACGGCATTTTATAATATAAATTCACATCACGGTTTCACATTAGTTGAATAAACTTGATAATTCTTCTTTGATGACTTTGGATTTATTGTTCAAAATTTTTAGCAAATCTCTGCTAATTCGTGAAGACTGAGAATGCCGTCGTCGTATCTTACTAAACACAGGCTGAACAAGTTCACGGTTTTGTTGATTATGCTAATTTGATGAAAAGTGTCAATAATTATGTTTTATGTTTTCGCACGAGATTACAAGATTGTCGACCAATTTACAGTAATTGCAAATATTATGAAGAGTTGATGACACCTGTCAGCCAACGTTCATTTGAAATACGATGAATCTGAAGTGGTAGTAATGGTTGTCGTAGGAAAAACTTGGAATTTGTTGTATTCACATTTTATGTATAAGAAACCACTAACGACGATGCCACCACCACACGATGCACCACCGGAAAGTTCATTTAAACGGAAGAGTAAAAAGTGCAAATTGATTCACATACATTCAAATACTTCCTGGGACACTAGCGAGCAAATCTTATTCATGTGTATTTTTCCTGCTTAGGGGGATGACACTGCTGCTGCAAATCTTTCCCGTTCAAAAAGCCATGGGTCGGGCTTGCAGATCGGGTGAAGATCGGTGTGTGAAAAAGAAAACTGCAATCAACAACGACCACGAATTTCGCTCATCCAAACTTTATGAAGATGAGATGCGATTTCAGGCAATGCTTTGCAATTCCTCCTCCTTCTCTCGTAGATCTTGTCAATGTCTTGGAACTCCGTTTTGTTTGGGGTACACACAACTTGATAGCTCTAGTTCGGTAGTGTAGTCGTGGCGGTGGTTGACTTGTTTCAACTGACGACGACGACGTCTTCAAGCATCCAAGCAGAGCTAGAAACAACAACCAACTGGTCAATAAACCGTGGGAATGATCCCTCTGGCGAAATTCGGGGGAGCAAAAAATCCTTTGCTTTCCATTATCATGGAGAGTTCACATTTGGTAGTACCGAAGGGTAGCAACTCGGCTGGCATAACACTATGGAGGAATACCTGTCTGCATGAGCTAGCTGTGGTCGCATTTAATAGTGGAGAAGTTTGCCGTCGGCCTCATATATGTGTGTAGTAGGAAGAAAAGCTATGTATGTATGTACATACGTAATAATACTATTACGTAAAGTCAAGTCCAAAGCGTGGATGGAGTAACACAACATCGCCAAGCATTATTTGTCAGTCGGGTTTTCAGGTAAAAACTTTTCATGATTCATCCCTCGACGCAATGACGCTTTGAACCCTCTCATCCACAACCAAACCGCATGTTACCACATTTCTCATTGACTCGGGAGGTACAAACACAATTCGTAAGGAAAAGGACCAAGCAACAATATTTTGGGAAGGTGTACTGCTCTCCATCATCATCATCTCTCGCACTATTATTACGTATCATGATATGACATAAGGTTGGTCGGTCGGTTTTCTTGAAGAACTTCCAAAAACTACATTAGCTGGTTGACTCCCTTCTGTTGGCGGAGAAAAGCATAGATGTGTAGATAATAAATTGGTTTTTTAGGAAGCATCTCTACATAACATCTTTCTTTAATAAAGGTCCCATTTTGACTTTTTGTCTCATCATCCCCATTATGTGTGCATGTAAATACACTTACACAATACATATACATATGTAAGTATGACGGATCGTTAATATTTATCCGTGTAGCTGAGATTATTAGAAAAGTCAACAAACGAAAAATAACGTATTAATACTTTTCACAAAGGAAGAAGCTTGATGATGTGATCCTTCTTCAAGTTCTATTAATGATGTTACGATTAGATGCCAAATTTTTTTGTAAAGAAGCAATGAAAACACCTTAATTTTATATCGCTGCTAATTTATTTTCTGTTATTTTTTGCATCTGTAATTATGTATTCAAGTACCGAATATTCATTGCAGTTGCAATGGAATGGAACAGAGTTGAAACTCTGTACAATTCTGGGTCTTTTTGTACGAATTACTCTCTCAACTTGTTTGTAAATCAAATGTACTAAAATGTCTAGAGTAATTGGGTTCAAAATATTAAACCTGGACGTAAAAGTACAATTTTGTCGAAATACGGAAAGCCTCATAAACCTTTGTCAATAAAACAGAATAGGAGCAACAAACATGCATAAAAAAACGCATACAACGAAATTTGCACCATATGAACAAACAGATCTAAAAATCCAGAACCTTCGCAACCGGTTCCATCACACACAACTTATGACACTGTGCATTCGCTTCCAATTTAATTTGCTCTCATAAACACGCTCTAGTTTGCCTAACAAGAAAAGTACAAAAGTTGAGCCCACGTATGCCCGTACATATGTCTCGTATGTTGTAGGAAAGAATTCATCCGAGGGAGTAAAAGTTGCAAAACCAGCCAAGCTGAATTTTACAGTTTACATACTTATAAAATGTAGTTGGACATGGCATGGAATGGAGAAATGTATGACTCTATTACAAAGACACTGACACCTTAACCAGACTGGTTTTAATTTTCCTTCATACTTGCCTATCCCATGCACAATCTTGCAGTTAAACAAAGCCAGTAGCTTAATGTTAAACGTGGCCTGTTATAATGAAGTCGAAACTTTAATAATTTGAACCTGCTTTGCTTTTGATGACAATTTTGTGACATTTGCCATACCTTCAACCTATGCGGCCATGTACACTTCAGCATGTATAACTTGTATGCGGACATTTGTAATGCAGACAACAGTTAGACAGCAATTTAACTTATATATTCGCAATACTTGTCTGATAAGTATTGCTCGTGGAATTCCTCCACCATCTCACCTTTTGATCTATACGACTTGTGATTATAAAATTCAACGACTTTATGAGCATTGAATTGTAAATACTTATCGCAAAAGAATTATAAGTGAATTGATTTGGATCTCATATAAGTACCTCATTTATTTTATAGACACAGAAAATATAGAAGAACACTTACTTCTTTTACAAGTTTTCACTGCATGAAAGTTCTCAGACAATTTTTCTTAATTCCAAGTTCCAGAAAAAATCCATTTCCTCTCTTTTATTGTTGTGAACAAGTAATGACACAGCAATCTCTTCGCCCAACAAACATAACGCTTTAGGCAGGTAAGGAAAGGATTAGCATTGCGTGGAGCAATCTTGAGTAATTTAAAGGACAATCACAAACAAAACAACAGCCACACTAATCCACCCTCTGTTTGCAGCATTTTTTGCTTATCCGCCTCGTTTATTCTTTCTCGTTCGCTTCGTTAAGTTCAACACGTCAACCTTTTATCAGGTGGCATTTCATAAGAAAAGTGAGTTCATCTGTCCATAGAATTACTGTAACGATAAGTAAAGCATATCTAAAAATGACACCATGATGAAATCATTAAAGTAAATCTAGCGTAGTACAAAAACATCCATATTAATTTTGAACGCCAACTTTTTGGCGTCACATCATGGAAACAACATCAGTGCATCCTAAGGCAAGAGTGTGTAAAGAAAAAGTTTGAATTTAGGATTTTTAATTCCAGACGTATCTTATTGATTTCGATAGTTCAAGTGGGTGATGATTTTAATGCGTAAAATTTCTTAACTCTGTTAACGTGTTCAAATCCTAAACGTGGCAAAATGGTACGGTCAAACCTTCTCGAGGAGGGTGAAGAAGGGCTGCCCTCAAGGTGGGGTCCTCTCGCCTCTCCTTTGGAATCTGGCCGTTGACGAATTGTTAACCGAACTTATGGGGAAGTTTCCTGGTATCTACACTCAGGGCTATGCTGATGACGTGGCGCTGTTCTCTTCTGGGTTTGATCTAAGCATTGTTCGTGATTTGGCACAGCAGGCTCTGTCTTTTGCAGGTCGCTGGAGTCGCGGAGTGGGCTTGTCACTCAATGACAAGTCCTCGGTGGTCCTTTTTACGAACAAGCGCAAATTCAGACTGAAACCTCTCACCTTGGAGGGGAAAAAACTAGAATACAGTGGCTCCTGTACCTATCTGGGGGTCACTTTGGATTCAAAACTGAACTGGAGACTGCATTGCGATACGAAGGCGCGGAAAGCCACCGTGTCTCTAATGCAATGCAGACGGGTGGTTGCTCTACCCCTACCTGGGGTCTTGGTCCAAAAGGAAGTCTCTGGATTTACAAGGCGGTGGTTCGGCCGGCCATGGAGTATGCTGCGATGGTCTGGCTGCCCGCGACCAATAAAAAATTCTGCGGCCGGCTTCGGAGGGTACAGGGGCTTGCACTCCGCATGGTCACTGGTGCTCTTCCGACTACTCCGACTGCGGCCTTAGAAACCCTACTTGGTGTCCTTCCAATTCAGCTAAGACTTCAGGAAGTGGCTCTTCAATCTTATTTAAGATTAAGGGTCCGTGGTCAATGGTTGAACTGGGTTGGATACGGTCGTGGTTTGAAGAAAATCACTCACATTGAGATGTGCTCTAGCCTGGCTCAGAATATTCCTGAGTTGGGCTTTCCTTATGACTATAAATCTGTTAAACCTCCCGAGGCTCGTAATTTTAAAATACGGGTCGCTACTCGGGAGGAATGGCTAGATATGTACGACAACTACTTGGATCTACCTGGGCTCCTCTGTTTTACGGATGGGTCTAGGGGTAAGGGGGGATCCGGTGCAGCCTTCATAATTGGTGAAGGTGGTAACTTCATGGATGGGGCTAGTGGCGTTACACCTCTGGGTAATTATGCTACGGTCTTCCAGGCTGAACTGATTGGGGTTCTTTCGGCGTGCAACTACATGTCAGAAAATCCAAGTCTACACAAGGAAGTGAATATCTTTGTTGACAATCGCAGTGTCCTTGATTCTCTTCTTAGTGAGCGGCTGGTTTCCTCCCTCACGGTTGAGCTTCATAGGGCGCTGCAGCAATTGAGCATTCACAAAGACATTACCTTACATTGGATCCCTTCCCATTGGGGTTTATGGGGTAATGAAGACGTGGATAAGCTGGCTAAAGAGGCTGCTAGTATAACAACATGCGGTCCAGAGCCAGTTATCCCTGTCAACTCAGCAATTGGAAAATTTGCAATAAAACAATGGGCTCAGAATGATCATCGGGTCTATTGGTCCAACTTACTTAATTGTAAGTTCTCAAAGTTGGCCCTACCAATACCTTACGAGGGTCTAAGTGGGAAATCACTTGGGCCCACGAGGGATGGTATGAGGCTAACAACTTTTGCCATCACAGGACACTGTAATTTGAATGGGCATCTGTATAAGATGGGTCTAGTTGAATCTCCCATCTGCGAGGAATGCGGGGAAGGGGACGAGACAATGGCTCATATACTCACAGACTGTCCCGCTTACAGTGCCCTGAGATTTAGGACCTTCCTTCGTTCTACCTTAAGGGTGGAGGAAGTATGGGAGTATCCTCTCAAAGACGTGCTGGCCTTTTTAAGGTCTGGCAGATTCGCCAGCTTTGTAGCTGGGGAATCGAGAGAGGCTCCGACACAATAATCGCATGCGAGTGCATTGAGGTGTCTGCAATAGGTCCAACTGGTGACCTGCGCAGCTGGATGTCTACCCCTATGGGTAGGAATCCTCCTCACATAATACATACATAGCGTAGTACAAAAACATCCATATTAATTTTGAACGCCAACTTTTTGGCGTCACATCATGGAAACAACATCAGTGCATCCTAAGGCAAGAGTGTGTAAAGAAAAAGTTTGAATTTAGGATTTTTAATTCCAGACGTATCTTATTGATTTCGATAGTTCAAGTGGGTGATGATTTTAATGCGTAAAATTTCTTAACTCTGTTAACGTGTTCAAATCCTAAACGTGGCAAAATGATTTAATTTAATGTGTTCGTATTCATTTAAAGGGATGATTTGAGAAGTAGTAATGCTCCAAGAAAAATTTTGGAAGTATGAGTTTAGTGATAGCGAGGAGAGGATCGATTTGTCCAATTTAATTTCAACTCCCCCCAATTTAATTTATATACGAGTATGAGAAGGCAAAGACGGGGTACATATCGCGTATCTGAGGATAAGAGATACTGGAGTAACAACTCCAGTATCATGTTGTGAAACAACACATCATTAGTCCTGGTTACTTCTACTCCAGTAGAAGTACGTAAAGAAATATTACGGAAGCGGTGGTGGGTGAAAGATGACGAGGGGTACCGTAAACCGTGTAGCTTCCTCTATCTTCTGGTTACAACAAGTGAAGGTTAAGGAAAGAGAATCAGAAAACTAGGAAAAATCAAGGTCAAGTTGGTCGGATGGATTTATTAAATAATCGGTGCAGCAACTGTTGCAAAGAAAAGCTCAAATCTACCGTTCAACTGTGGAAAATATGAAATAGAAACTTTTTTTTGAGTATTTCCTCGGTCATTATTTTTATCCTGGTGCAAGGATCATAGTGAAACACAATGAGCAGTAATATGCCTTATTAACCAAGGACCAGTGGCTTCAGTTTGTGACTTCAAATCTTATTCGTATCTGTCAAAAACTTTCAAAAAGTAAAATCACATAAAACTACTAGAGAAGAATGTGTATGTACGTAGCTCGCACGCGTACTACAGGTTGGGAATTTAGAATTCGAGTCTTTTTCAAAATCCGAGGAGAAATCACCCTCTCTAAATCCAATATAGAAGAGAATAAGCGTCGAGCACTTCATATTTCTCTCATCCTTCGCAATCCCTAGCTTCACCCCCTGCAGAAGAACACGCAAAGTGCACCCTTGGAAGAAGAAGCAGCTCTTCCTTCTCTGCTCCCCACTTTGCTGGTGGTTGCACTGCAATTCATTCAACTAAGCCGGAAAGGTACTAATAACTTATCCGGACGACTGATGTATGTGTTATGGTTTAGTTGGCTACCCATTACCCGTCGCATTACATGGACAAATTGAAGAATATGGTGCTCACTACATGATTCGAATCCGAATCGGAGTGCATCACCGGACACAATAACATGCTCCCACAATTACCACCCTCTTTTTCTTCCTTCATATCCAAGTGGATTTTCTTCATCCCAATTGTAATGGAAAACTCGTATAAAAGAATCTTGTTGCTTGCTCGTGCTTGGGTTCCCTTACCGTTGTGTGCTGACTCCCAATTTTCTAAGACTTCCAAACCTCTTGAAGCTCAACGGCAAGGGTGTTAAAATCACCACTTCACATAGGGGCCTGATACAGCAGCCTTTCCATGGAAGGGAACGTAGCTTTTGTATTTTATATTCAGAATATATAAATGCTACAATTATCAGATAAAGAGTACTTCTCTTGTCCCGTATTTTCAATATAACGGTAAAAAAATACGAAATAATAAGTCAGTTCCCGTATGGTTCCCGTATTGAAATAACGAGAGACGAGTGATAAGCTTAATTTGGAAGAGAAGAGTACTTGAAAGTTGAAGTCATAAGCACTACTTATTAAGTAGCAGTGCAAGGTGTTGAGTTTTTCATTTAGTTTTGTTTAAAATGCATTTTCCAGAACGAGATTAACAAAAAACTATAATGCGCAATTTGCATGCTTGAGACATTCGTAAGATTTTTCTTTGCAATCTTCCCAAGAAGAAGAAACCAGCTTGAGATTCTGAGAAGAAAAATGCTTACGATTGTCTTGTGTAATATATTCTGTGGGAGCGAGGGTTGAGTGAAAATTCCAAGGGTGGAATAAAGGGAAAGTGAAATAAATGCATTAGATAACAAAAACGCCGTTATTGCATCGTGTTTTGCCTTGAGCCCCAAGGTTTCGAGTGATTTGGGGGTAAAAATTCAACCTTATATTTCTATTATATCTTGTGAGCAGACTCGCAAGAATTTTATTTGAGATGTGAATTTGGGATGAGGTGGATTTATTTCTCACGTTTGGGGTTTGTCATATCGGATAAGAATTCAACTAACACACTTCGTACAAAAGTATTTTAAATAAGTACTTGAAGAGCAAGTCAGGCATTGAGAAATTAAGCCTTCAAAAAGTGTCTGTGTCACAACGAAGCTATTGAGTCTGTAGCTGACATTTTAACAAAACCCTTTACAGACGCTCGAGAATGCGGGAACAACCTTTCTCCCCACCCCAATTAAAAATATAATGGCATATCGCACAACACAAACAACCCGAAAAACATAATCCTGAGATTTGTCACCGCCATCATAACAATATCCAACATGAAGTTCTATCCTCCTTTTTCACTGCAGGAGTGCGGACCATTTCCACTCTGGAAGACATACATGCATTAAAATTCAAATATGTGATTCTGTACATACAAAAAATAGTTTATATTGTGCTCCTTTTCATCTTTGAAATTAAAATGCATCTACATACACGTGGCTATGTATATGAGGACGTATTTATAATGTTTTCTTTAGTTGTAGTGTTACATATATGTAATAACACAAGGAAGGGACAAAGACTGAGATGAGTCGAATCGTCCTTACAAAAAATATGACGACGGCATGTTATTGTTACCCCTTTGACTTTGTCCCTGTTGAATAAATAGTAGAATAGAAGTATGTAAAGAGTGACCTGATAGGTTCGGTCTCAGCATGAAAACAATTCAAGGATCAGATTCTTCGAGGATCAGCAGCATATAAATTGAGGATTAGAGGAAAACCAACAAAAGACCTCTGGGTGAGAAGGGCAGTTGGTTCAGCTTGTGAGTGAGCAACAGCTTTTAGGCATTATCTCATATAATGCACAAATCAGATAATCCCCCATCAGCCACAACAGACGCAGAAAGTAATCACACTTTGTAATTATTTTCCACGCCCGAAACCGGAGGGAGACTTCGAGCATTTTGTTTAATAAATACATTTCAAAAATAGGATGGTATTTAATGCATACGTCATTCAATTCCAGCAAATATGTATTACTAATTTCTCGGACATTAAGCAGGTAAGCTATACGTATCAACTAATCCTTACAAAAAGTGAAAGCAATAATATAAAAAACCGTACCAACTTACACTCACATATTATTATATGCTTGCATACAAATACGTAGAAAGTCAGCTTTCATTTATTTTTGCACTCGTTGAATTAGACTAATGGAAATTCAACACTTTATTTATCTTCTTCCATCTTGCAACTCCATTTAAAAATATAAACTTTTTCCACATCAATTTGTACTGGAGCTCACATTGCCAGACGATATGGACAATCGTTGCTTAACTTCAAATTTGCACAAAATGCACTGTCGTTCAAATAGTGTACAAAGTTTAAGCAAACAGTTGGAAATCTTTTAAGTGATTTGTCTCCTTATTTGATTGAAAGTATGTGAGACTCCAAATTCAGAACTTTATTTTACGTCTCACTTTGTTGAACTTTGAGACAGATGGACGACACTTCTGGGTTGCCACTTAACAAATCTTTGTTCAGTCTTTTTCGGAAGTTGTGATGCTTCCTTCCTTTGTAAATAAAATCAGGCAGCAAACTCAACAGTTGCTGTCACAGGGACAAATCCAGTGCGGCGACAAGATGAGATGAAAGCCCCGTTCAGAAAGAGGCTCGCAGGAAAACTGCCGACTTTGGATCCAACAACCACCACTCTGCGTGTGGTTGACGAGGACTCATCCGAGAAAAATGAGAGACGAGGAGGGGAAGGGAGAGGCAGAGAGAGAAAACTGCTTTCTGCCAGTTCGGAATTTCGGATCCCTCTCCGCACATGTAATGCTCAGAGGAAAGAAGAAAGTGCTGCGTTGTTGTATTCTCTCCCTCAGACTCTCTCTCTCAATGTTGGTTTTGGGTTTGAGACGAGAACTCGCACGGGAGAGGACAACAGGGTGAGGACTGAGGAGGGAAGAACGATGCATTTATATTTACGAAGCGAGAGTATGAAATGAAAGTATGAATGAATGAGCAAACTTTTACAAGTTAAGCCCCAGAGATGAGCACGAGATGAAAGGAAAGGGATGAAATTGGCAGAGATGGTGGTTCCTTGGTTAGTCGCCATCAAACCCTTATACATGAAATCCGTTTTCGGTGTGGGGGGGTGAAAGACGGATGTTTTGGTATCTCTCCGACCGATGCTGAACTTCTATCGCCTCACATTCACCTTCACACTGTCCTCTCCAAAGCGAAACAAAGCACACTGAGAGTAATGTGTTTAGTCTGAGTGGGTAGAGTACAAAATAGCAGCAACAGACCAGAAAGTATAATTTGGTGTGCAACGTTTTAATGGTTGATGAAATTCCTGCTAGAAAGATAACATCAAAACAAATCACAGGGCTTTCCCCACCAATCAAAAACTGACTGTATGATTGGGTTGGAATCGATTATTATTAAAGGCGTTACTGGTGCGACGAACTGCCCGGTATTGACTGGGATTGAAATTGAATGTGTTTCGGCGTTAAAGTTAGCCCTGGTTGGTGGTGGTGGTCGTGGAAAGAGCGAAGGTCGGGGCTGAGGAGAAAGCAATGAACTGCATAACTCTTGTGCTAGTTCAACCCATCCAATTTTACGTAATGTGAATCATGTGAATATAGTTTACTTGTGCTTTATGTGTATGCGTGCTTGGCCTGACCATTTGTTTCGTTTCTTCTAAGCGAGCTATTATGCAAGGTAGTGGTACATATGCATACATGAGCCTATGTACCAGGTAGTCGGCAAGTAACAACTTTTCCCCGTATCGATCTTACAGTACCACAAACCATGTAATCCCCTTTAGTACCTGTAAAACTAAAATTGTCAAATAGTTTCGTGTGAGCTGGGTCGTTGGAACGGACGACACATACTTTTAAAAGTATGCTATTGCGGAGGTATATCTCCGGATTACTTAGTCTACATTCAGGTAAGTCTGTGTACATTGTGCTTAACGTCGTGGTATGCGATAGTGCTGGATGTTAGTAATGCATAATATTGTTCCACTCAGGAGGGTGCATGTTTCTGTGTGGCGTGGGGGGATTTGCTGTTCGAATATTACGGCAAAGGTGATTTTCTTTCTCCTCGAAACCAGATTGAAGTGCAACCAGTGATGACGATGACTCATCGGACCGGTGTGAGTGCAGGTCTTCAGTCATTCATGGGCCTGGCTCTGACTTGTGCCCATGTACAGAGGCCCACCACAAGAGAGTTTTCCCAGAACCGACAGCGAAACAGCAATTGCTATTCTTGGGGGGTCATACATGCAGTCTTGATTGAGTAAGTTAGGCACGGTGCGGTTGAGGCCGAGATGATGAGAAACTCGCGGCCTCCTTCACTCTATGGTCTGGATGGAGGTAAAAGTTTCTAACTCATCCCCACCATGCATAACTTACTCAATCCGGCTTATGAGAAAGGTCAACCACTAATTTCAAAATATTTCAAAATTTTGATTTACACATCAAAAATGTATAAATAATTAGGGGGAATACAGGTCAATGCTTTACGCCACATAAAATTAATGTTTTGCCACAAAAAACACATTTACTTCCCCTTTTTTGAACTTTAGCGGCTAAAAATTTGATTTTAAAAACTTTTTTTCAATTGGCAGTTGTTTCTCTCCCCTTGAGTGATTTTATAAAAATACTTTCACTTTTTGATCAAGATTGCATGCATGACCCCCCAAGAATAGCAATTGCTGTTTCGCTGTCGGTTCTGGGAAAACTCTCTTGTGGTGGGCCTCTGTACCTGTAATAAGGTATAAAATGTCAAGTTTGGTGATATCGCGTATAGCATGTTATATTTAATTGTGAATTGTAAGAAGAAAACAGCAAAATATTTCTATACTTGTTTAAAATGTCATGCTTATTTTCAGGAAAAGAGAGGTACACTATTAAATCCAGAAGATTGAGAGGAAATATTCTCCGTCTCCAGTTTCTTATGTATTTCGTACTCAAATTTGTCCTTATAAAATGAGACCATACATTTCCCCTCGTCGTGAGGGGAGGGTGAAAGTGAGAGGGCGAGTGAACTGAAATATCAAATTCGAAACAGGGCAGCTCCTTCCTTCCACACGCAGCATTCACCTTTCTTGTGGTATTTTCTCTCCCTCGTGATCGTGATAACTGCGTCCAATCCAAAGCGTATTGTGAAAGTTGCATCCCGTCGTTCTGGGTGTATTGTAATATTTGTGAGTAATTTGAACACAAGGGTAATTTTTTGCTTAATCTTTTCGTATGCCTAATAATATGGACAAGTTATAGGACAAAATATTTCACCTTACACGACAAACCAGGTTTCTCACAATTCCGGATGTTGCACCACTATACACATGACAATGGCTTATATCTCACAAGATGGATTGATTTATGGTTGGCTTGAAATTTGATGGAAAATTTATGCTCCGTTTTGGCTTATCTAAAATTGAAATTAATGGTGGGTGACTGGGGAGGGGAAATTAAACCTAATAAAACATTCCTGCAGGTTGTGGTTTGTTCTTGCAAATATAACAATATTATGAATTTTCTACTAACAGTTTGACATATAAAATGAATTTGCATCCAAGTTGAAATGAAGCCAATCAATCAAATATGTGACAAAAATGAAACTTTGAGTATTTTCACTTCATTGCATTCATTGCACGATGGCTATGATTGTTTAATAAACATCATATTAGGATCTGTTTGATGAAAAACTAAAAGGTTAATTTGACATTGATTAGAAAAAATAATAATAATTTACCACGGGACAATCATCATTATACACTAGGGAATTTATGCTTACTTGCATATTTTAAAATAGTGGAGATATCATGACGCGAGTGAACAAAGTGGTCTTTGTTCATGTTAAATCCAGGTTACACCATCTGCCAACAGTTCTCGTGAGTGTTGTGGATTTGGAACTCGTAGATGGCCTCGGTCGATCACTTTACGTTTTTGGACCTCTAAATCCATACTGAAAGTGAATTTGAGAATATCAATGGTTGTTGAGAATTTTGCTATACACCATCATTGGCAAACCCTTCTCTGCATTTGCATGCAATGCAAAAAATTGCATCGCAACAACATATCCCATTTTTAGACACTCTTAAAAGTAAAAACAATGTAATATGCAATAATGCGATGAGACATTGCATACTAAAAGTTGTATCTCTGTGATGCAAATTTGTTTTGGCATTAATAAATCAAAGTATTGAATCCGCATTGATACATTATTTATTTTTCTTATTCTATGTAGCTCGAAATGAAAGATTTTTCATTTCTTGACTTCGGGGAAAAACCTTGAGACACGGCAAACAAGGAGACAGTGAACTTAAGCAAACGTATGGAGCATGAGATTTATTGTCATTAGGTTTAATTCCTCGAGTACTCGAGTATCTTTTTGTACTTTTTGTAAGGCTGTGCTTGATATACAGCTGATACGTAGAAAAGTGAAGTAATGACACCATATCATCAACAACATCATGCAATGCAACCACAAATTTACAGACAACCTTCGCCACTGCAAACATGCACTGTTTAGCCATAAGGGGACACATTAATCCCGTCATCGCATTCCAATATCCAAATTTTGGTCAATCTAAAAGGGTCAAAATTTCTGAGAAAAATAGGAAACCTCATTTCAAAGTATTTTCACCTTCAAAGAGATGGACTCTCCCCAACCAAAGCACTTGCAGCTTACAATCTGCACACACTCTCCTTCTCAAAGCAAAGCATATAGTCAGTCACCACCACACAACAGCAGCAGCCAGCCAGCAGCAAGCAGCGAATTGAGATTAGAGAGCACATTCGACTTTCCACTTCCTCCTCAAACAACACGATCACAGGACAACGACGACGACACAACTTACGTATCACTGAAGATTACCAGTCGATAATTTCCTTCCCACTTATCCAAGAAGCGATACTACGCAGATAAGAAGGCGAGGCCAGTTCACAGCTGAGAGGAGAACAGGACCCTTAATTCACCCTTAGGAGGAGGGACTCAAGCAGCTGGTGGTGTGCACAAGGAACGAGGTGGAGGTCAAGAACTCAATTAAAGTAAGGTAATTAATTGAATTCATCAGTATTAATAGTGTCCAAATAATGTGTAATGGTTTGGTCAATTGCTCAGCGAAAGTATAATATAATATATATATACGTAATTTGTAAGCTATCATAACATTGCACAAACATTCGTTTGATTACTTTATGTACATTGACAGTTTGCACTGTTGGTGTTTGTTTACAATTATTAAAAAAAGCTACCTCAAATTTATCTCCGATATTCGTTAAACAAAGATTTAACTGTGATTGTCAGTGTTCATAAAACAATATTTTTCTGTAGCTTTTGAATACGTTAATTTTTGGATTAGTTAGTAAACATAAGTGTGTCTACGTATTGATTTGTTGTTTTGTTTTATTCTAGACCACGACGTTGTCAGAAGATGATGCGAATTTAGAACTGCCCGTTTGTTTAGACGTGATATTCAGCCTATAGTTTAAACGCTTTATGAAGTATGAAAAATTGCTCAGCAGCATTATCTGAAGGTAATATAATGATTTTGGTAATCATATATGTTTGCGTAAGTATGTAAACAAACAAATCTTGATAACGTCGAGTGGTTCATTTAATTTGCTTCTTCGATCAGTTCAAACTCAAATATAGTATCATCGTCATATTTTCCAAGTATAGTCTTATGAATATGTATAATGCTGGTTGCTAGACAATGCAAATCCTCTAGTTGATTAGTAGTTGGTAGTAGTTTCCTTTGGTGTAATTTTACCTATATTGATTTATTAGAGTACAATTCAAAGAACAAAATGATGATTGAATTAGGTAAGCAGAAAACTGGCAACTAAAAGCAAATTATATCTTAAGACTCGATTAACATTTTCAAATTTAAGAGTTAAAATTAGACTTAAATATCACTTAAATTTAAATACTGAAAGTTTTACAAATTTTGCACAGTGACTCGAACGTACTAATGTTACTAAAATACTTTTAGGTCTCCCGTCTCGTTAATTGGACCAACTTTTGCACAGTTTTCGGACTAGCTAGCAAGTAGATTTCAAGAAATTCAAATAGCAGTAGTGAGTCTAGCAAGCAATCCCCTTGTCCTATCAAAAACGACTACAAAATGAGTGGTGGACATTCAAGTGGCGCTGGGACGAGTGCTGTGAGAGCTCTGGCGATGGAGTACAAGAACGTCGTTGAAGAACCCGTGGAAGGTAATTTTTGTCTAATAATAATAATATCTAGATAATATATTATTTACTGACGGTTTATTACTTTTTTTATCCCTGGAAGGTTTCCGTGTTCGTCTTTTGAATGACGACAACCTTTTCGATTGGGAGGTAGCTATTTTTGGACCACCTGACACCTTGTACATGGGAGGTTACTTTAAGGTATGTAGCATAAACAATGAGCAATGATAAAAGACATATAGTCAAATTTTATTATGAAAGAAATTATGGCGAGTATGTAACGCTGACTTTCTTGTTTTTATGTACAGGCTCATATGCGTTTCCCACAGGATTACCCATATTCTCCCCCAACGCTGCGATTTCAGTCGAGAGTATGGCATCCAAATGTTTATGAGGTACGCATTTTAAGATGCATTGTTCTTACTAGTGTTTATATTATTATGAATATTATTATTATTGATGGCTGATTTTCCACTTTTGACCCAGCAGAACGGGGATTTGTGCATTTCAATTTTGCATCCCCCAGTTGATGATCCCCAGAGTGGAGAGTTACCTTGTGAACGTTGGAACCCAACTCAGAATGTGCGGACCATTCTTCTATCAGTGGTTTCATTGCTAAATGAGCCAAATACATCAAGTCCTGGTAAGCCGTTTGAGATTGTATAGACAAATGCATTTTTAGTGTAATATTAATAATTTCAAAAATACTGGTCACTTTTTGACGAGACGACATGGCATAAATAAAATTACACTGAATCACACCACACGTCATTTGGTAACTTCAATTCTTATATGATTTCCTTTGTAGCAAATGTGGACGCATCTGTTATGTATCGGCGATGGAAGGAGTCAAAAGGAAAGGACAAAGAATACGAAAACATCATAAAGTACGACGAGTATCTTTGTTAATACGTCGTTGATTTTTTAACATGATAAAACCCGTCTAATTGTATACCGTGTGTGCGTGTGTTTAGGAAACAAGTCGGGTTGTCCAAAGCTGAAGCCGAAAAGGACGGAGTAGTTGTTCCGTTAACATTAGAAGACTACATCGTCAAGACCAAACCTCCAGAAAATAATTTGGAACTAACAGATTTCTACGATGATGATTATGATCTTGACAACGACGATGACGATGGTGATGAGGAGGACGAAAACACACCAGGAAACTATGATGACGATTCTGGTAACGGAGACGAGTCATAATGACTCATCATAGAGTTAGTTTCTCAGAAATGTTCGTCATTTTTCACGGAACGACACACCAGACCCTAAGCAATCTTAAAAACTGCGTTCCCATTTAAATTAATTAATCTATTATCTGCCCATGTAATTTGTGTCGAGGGAGAGTCTTAAATATCAGTAAATTAAAATAGAATCAGGTCACAGATCAAGTTTAATAATCCCAAATTTCTGTATCCAAAATTTTTTATTAATGTAACTTCCAAATTATTTATTTTTCAAATACAATCCCAACAATAATAATCAGATTAATTACATTGTGGCTTTTCTGCATGTGCAAAATAAAACAAGTCAAAATTTTGTCAATTAATTATTAATTTTCCTATCATATGCTATTTTATTATCCTAAACAGTCCAATCAAGTGCAGTGTAAAGTTGGGGTGTCTGGTGATTGCCTTTCTAGGAGCGAATAATAGACGAGTAGATTATGATATCCGTCTTGATTATTATTATCGTTGTGTGTACATATACATGTTGCTCGTCCTCCTGGTTTATTAGTCAGTTGTTTGATAATTTTGATCCACGTCTCATTGTAACTCGTATAGAAGATTTGAAGTAGGAAGGTAGAAGGTCAACAACTTTTTTGTTTTTGTATAACTTGAACCATTTTCAATTTTAATAACTGTTTTAGAGTAAAGTACTTGGAACTTTTTTCGATAGAAAAGGGGTGATACTACATGTATTTAATGTGCGGCTTGATTGGAAAGAAACTTTGCACCAAGTAAATATATATAATCCACTATGTATGTAGTACCATCGCAGCATAATACCTGTATAGTAGTCATTCCCCGGAATTTGGACATACTCGCTTAACAAAATTCTAGATAATTAATTAAAGATGTATTAGTTTAATGAACAAGGTAATGTATGTACAATAACTGGCTATAAAAAATTCCGTTAAGAGGTGTATTTATAAGCGAATAGGTATCTGAAACGATAGGTTGTAAGCGCATTATAAGTGTATACATGGTGGGTATTGAAAGTGCTGCTAATTATCTACTATGTGTGTGCATGCAGAGTATTTTTGCGACTCGTAAATACTTGAATAAAGTTGGATATTAGATTGTGTGCAATGCTTATGATATGGTGTGTTAAGAACAGAGTTAGATTGGAACTACCCGCATGTTGAAGTAAATGATAAATTCTGTAAAAAAAACATTTTTGAAGTGATACTCTGAATGATCCACGTGCGTAGTAACTAGCAATTAGTTTATTTGTATTGTATTATTGACTATCAAATAGCTGTAACTTGTTAGAGTAACATGATATCAGTTGCAAGCTTTGCTAAAATGGTGAAATAAAGATTTTAACAAAATGAACTAATAGTAAAGTAATTTGCATAGACTTTGATTCAAGTATACACTTACATTTATACAGTACATGCATATGTGTATTTGAATTGTTGCTGTTAGAGCGTAATTCGCATCTTTTGTTAAAAAAATTCTGCTCATGTTCAATACAAATTAGATAAAATCATCAGTCACATGTGTAATTTGCTAATTTAGTTCTAATTTTTACAACGGTAAATAATAACATCCAGACAATGACCATGAAGGAAAAAGTCCCACTTTGGCTGGTATCATTGAGTTGAATGGATTTTTTTAGGCGCAATACGATACCCCAGTTGTTTACTGTGAAAGCTGATCTCACATAATTTTCCTCTATTATTTACATAATTGAGTATTTACAGTGAGTTGACCCCTTGCTTTATGATTTCTATTATAAGGACACTTTAGTTTGCCATCACAGGATACTATTCACAAAGATTCACAAATATTGAGGGCTGAATTAGACCAGGGATAATGGTAATTCATCACATGAACTATTATTATGTCCTCCAGTTAGTTTAATTCATCATTGCTCTTGATGTAGGTAGAGTTCACAAATGATAAATACGTATGCTGTCATTTTGATGTTCCCGATTTCCCATTATTTAGATATCCTGACTGGAAACGAAGACTACGGATTCATTTATATTTTTTGGTAACAAGATTTCGTCCTTATCTTTGGTGTAATGGATCTGGAGGAGCTTAAAAGTGTGATACGAACCGTGCAAGATCAGCACACAACAATACAGCTTTTACAATCCGAAATTCATTTCCAGAAGGAACGAATTGATAAGCAAGATCGAGTTATTGACCAGTTATCCACCAAGGTTTGTGAGATTTATATAAAATAGCAACATGCGTTATAAATTTTGTGCCTGATATCAAAATATTCACTAAATATTGCCTTATCTGCACAGATTGAACAACTGGCGGAACAGCTTTCACTACAAACCAACAGCACCGAAAAACGTAATGACGAAAGCCCGAGTAGTATCTGGAAGGACACTGAAAATCTGTCAATTGCGGAAGCCGTTAAAGAAACTGCAGAGAAAGTTCTTATGAATAATTTGGGTTTTGTATTTGACCTCAACACAAAACTGTACTGCAATTATTCAACAGGATATTATTATGATCCGGTATGTATGAAGTATTATTTTTTGTTGTAATTAGCACCAAAAATTGTCATTATTATACACGTGAAGTTCATTACTCCTTCATCCTTTGATAGGGTCAGGAACTGTTTTACAATGGTCACACGGGAGTTTACTACACTTATGACGCTGACAATCAAAAATACCTGTTCCATTCACAAGTTCAACTCGACCAAAATGTTGAAACAGTGAGAAAAAAGACTAGAAAGATAATTAGAAAAGGTGGAAATGAAAAATCAGTTGCAAAACAGCCCTCACCAACCTCAAATAATTCTACTAGTTGCTCTCAAATTGGTCAATGTGTTGAAAAAAGAAACATTCATAAATCCAAGTCGAAAGTGAAGAAATCTGAAGGATTAATAGACGCAAACTTAAAGGAATCTGTGATTGGTGAAGACATGGAAGAAGGCGAACTGAGTGGTTCTTCTGGCTGCGAAAGCAGCACTTCAGATGCCTCAGAAGAAGAAATTTTAACTTCAAAAGACCACTATAACTCAAGTACTGATGACGAAGAGCAAGAATATCCCCCTTGTATCCGAGCGATCGTGTTGGAGTCTATTTCTAGTACAATTAGGAAAGGATCTCTATTTCTAATCACGTGTATGGGGGGAACAATTGGTAGCGAAGGGCTACATCACACCATCATGCTGCCAGATCCTTCAGTTGAGAAGGTTTATTATATACAATGTAGTTAATCAACCACTTGTTTTCTATTTTGTGTTCTTGTTGCTAGTCTATCCATGTGTGCCTTATGCAACATCTTTATTTTGATGATTTATATGTTGCACAATACGTACCTTGCTTGATATTATTTTTGGTTTTGAATAGCATCATGCAACCATTGTTTATTCGTCAACTGTGGACGATAATGGCGATGATAAGAACTTAAAGAACTACTTCATAAGTGATCATGGAAGTTCCACAGGAACGTTTTTAAATGGTATTCGATTGTCGGAGTCCCAGCAGTGCAGTGAAAAGCATGCAATAGTCCATGGAAGTATAGTTAAGGTATCTATCTGTATCTCGACATGTTACTTTGAATCAAAAACCGTCGCTTGCCCTTATAAATAATTATCAATTTCAGATTGGTGGGTTTTCAATTTTAATGCATATTCATCCTGGCTCTTTCACTTGTGGTCACTGTGAGCCAGGTTTGCTCATGGGAAGTGCTGAAAGCATCGAATCACAAAGTAAATTAAGAAACAGTAGCAAGAGATATGTATATTAAAGTATGCAGGTGATAATCATTTTTCTATCTTCAGTAGGGCCATCTTACCACGCGGAGATACCAAAGACTAGAAATGCACTAATGAAGCAAATTAAAAAAAAGTACGGAATAGAGAAGCACATTTCCTTGCCTGATGCTGATTCTTATAAAGATAGATCACATGAAAGGAGGTTCGTTTCGACATGATTAATGATAACTAAACTAAAATAATAATGCATACAGGCTGTTATTAATATTATAACTGCAGATAAATTTAAAATTTCTTGTGTTTTGTAGAACAGTCAAGGGGTCTGATAATCCATATGAGAAAACTCAAGTCGTAAATGCAGAAGAGTAAGTTTAGTACACCATTTGACTCGTTACTTATTATCCATTATTTTCTATCTTATTAGTGATAATATTTTCTATCATTACTAAACCTGTGTTTAAATTGCAAATTCATAATGCATGTGAATCATATTTTTAAAGATCCATCTCCAAAAATAACAAAGGGTTCAAAATGCTATCAAAAATGGGTTGGAATGAAGGTTCGTCGTTGGGAAATATGGGCAATGACGGCCTCCTTGAACCAGTAAGTAGAGAATTTTTCATATTATGTAAGATTAACAGCAATATTATATTTAGATTATTATGCAGCTTGTACTTTTACTAATAAGTCGTGTGTACGTGTACCTGTCAATGACTGCAATTATGTAGGATGCAACTATTGTATGCAGCAAAAGGCATCCTAAAGGCTCATAGACATATCGTAAATATTAACCATATCGCATCTTCTAATTTTTGTGTTATCATGATTTGGACAGTATGAGTCAACAATTTCCGAGTTTGAATTCCACTTATTAATACCTAAACTAGGGAACGAATTTTCTCATCGTGACTCATAGCAATCTGGATTCCCATGACTTGATTCTAATAAGTTAATCAAATTACAATGTGTGCATTGAATAATGTACCTGCGTACATACATATTATTAATCGAGTCTAATTTAATTACACGTTTTCATATATCTATTAAAATTGTAAACTTGAATATTTTAAAATCTGGTTTGGAGTACCTACATCTGCATGATGTCATGCTTAACGACCCAGTCTTGTTAAGGATTACAAAAATCAGCATAGGTTCCGGGATTCTCAGCCGTTCAAGAAAGTTCCTTGCCTTGAAAAGGATGAAAACAAATATTACGTGTAATAATGGGAGTTTATAAAAGTTTTATTTCGCTATTTTGTTTAAAGAAATCCAAACGATACGACAGTTTTCTTTGGTCATTCCATGCTATTGTTGGCTTATCTGCATAATATCACGTTCCAAAAATAAAATCGCATGTCTAAGTCTCATTCGAAATATAAAAGACGCATGAGAATTTGTGAGCAAATCGCACGAACCTCTCGATCCACGACACACATCTTTCATACATACATACAAACAATCTAAATATTATGTATTTACACAGTACAATGTGTTGTTTAACGCAAGCCCTGGCGTTTTTTGCACAAAGATATCGACAATATTGTTTCTCATTCTAGTGACTTTGCCCGTTTAATTCTAGATTATTACATACATGATACAAAAATAAATGCGAAGTTGCAAATAATTCATTTGTTTACAGTTTGGTCAGCAAATAGCTAAGATTTGCGGTTCGTTGATCTCCATTTCGCAAATTTAAAATTTAGACTTTTGTATTGCCCACATTGCTCAGTAATGATAAAAATTATTAGCCTTTGAATGAAAAATTGTCGGGATGTATGTAATACAAGCATAGGACTATCTCAATCAACAAGTGTGACTGACTATACTAAAAAATTGTTAGAATCGATTCATGGATATTATCATATTATAGACTACGTTAGACAAATGTTTCCACGTATGAAGTAGAATAGTACATATGAAATATAGCTCCCATGTATTTTCACTGTGTTAATTATTGTGCCTGCTTTTGTTATGCAGGTGAGACTGGAGATGAGATGCGATCGGTCTGGCCTGGGGATGGAATCTTCTTCTCTTCAGAATGACTTCAAGAAATCGCCCAGCACTTCCCGAAGCCGGGTGGACCAGCTGGCCATCACGATGAAGCGATTTAAAGAAGCTGCTGGAGCAACGGAGATTAAAATGGAAGTTGATGCCAACGTGGTGGGTGATGGAAACCTGTCCACGTCGTGAAGAAAAAAATTTCAAATTCAGATTGTGTCTTCAATTTTAATTAACAGGTTTGTGAGTGGAGTGGAGTAGATTGGAAAATTAATTACGGTGGAGTTTTTACATATATATCATTATTTCTGTCTGGTTCTTAGTTTGGCTGACTCTTGGGTTTTCTGTTCATGGCAGTTTTATTAAAATTCATAATTTATCATTCACATGGCTCGTTGGAATAATAATGATTGCATCACCATCACATCATTTCATCAAATCATCGATATCAATACTAATGAAATTACGCCATCCTAAACACCTGATAGCGCGGCCACCTGTACACATTGCTAAATTCAATTTATCTCATACTGGATTTCTTGCCATCATGTTAGATTATCTGGATCAGATCAAAGCTCTTCGTAAAATGGCACTTAAACTTCGGGAACCATACACACAAATATATAACAAAAGTTTATCATCCATGTATATATTACTGCGTATGTATATGTTGCAGTATCTGACAGATGGATACACCTTTTATCTAGATACTTGCTTCTTTTCCGAATCTGGTTCTGCATACATATTTAGTTCGTTCTGCTGGTGTACGTGGATAATCGTTGTCTTAGATCATCCTTCAGTTATAGGTACTTAAATATGTTCGACGATGCGCCACCGACCCGATTAGCCCGACTTATTAGAACTTGATTGAACAAAACCCCCTGGGCAAGGACTCTCACTACTTCATTCTCTTTCAATCTCTCTAATCCAGTTGTAAAATTGTAGTACAGAATCTGCACTCAGATAGTCCTATGCATACATCTACCTACGGCATGGAGACGATGCCAACCACTTTATTAAGAGCCGGATTATTAGAAATCCTTTTTGGCTCTCTTTCAACAAGATTTTAAAGTTGAAGTTGAAAGAATGCGGTTTGGATTCGCTGAAATTCTTTTGCATTCTATACTTGGGCCGGTAAGTTGCATGCATGAATTATAAGTTTGCAATGGTTGGTATAATACTTGTCTTAATCATCATACACACACACCTTTATGGTCTTAATCCCACACAAACCTTGTGCTTTTTAATGGGTCCTTCCAACGGATATATTCAGTTTATACAGAAATGCACTTTATACTTTTATAATTTCTCAGCCTACCCACATGCGGAAGGTCCCTTGATTGAGTATGCTAGTTATAGTTATAATATGCATGTACCCTCCAAACTCCGCTGTTGTTGTTCAATTTGTTTGTGCAATCCAACTATCTAATCTCTGGTCACTCAGTTCTCTCGTAATTTTTCCTGTCGTCAACCTCGAGAAGAAGTTATTATGACCAAACCACTGCCAAGTCAGTCCGCATTCCTTTTACTGGTTACTACTGCACGTATATGTAGTAAAATTCATCCAAGCATGCTGCAAAATTCTTATTAAATGCATTCCGTTGGTCTCTTTCTTTCTACTTGCTCGTATATACGTGTTTGCTCCAAAAAGCTCATAAATCCAATGCCCTAAACAACCCATAAATGCAATTGTGAAATTATAAATTGCCTCCTACTTATTTCCCCATTCATCCATCGTTTAAGTCGCTTAATTGTATTTGCATTGGTTGTTTTTGTACATGGGATAAACATTGAAACACTATCAGACGTGTTTCATGGAATCTTAAATTGACACGGGAAAATGTGAATTTTGTTGATCCTCGTTCTGATTTGAACTTTATTCATATTTTTTGTATCCACACTGATGATTGATAATTCATAAATTACTGTATATTCACCGTAGCCCAATGTCACTGTTACCAGCAAGAGTGCAAGATCATGTCAGCAAGGAGATGGTGGATGATAGGAGCCACCATCATTCATCAATAATTGATTTAAATTCTTTCATTTATTTACCAACATTTGTGTGATATGCTTGTGGCCAGGCCACACTGTCAGAGAATGCTGAATGAGTGTGATTGAGACGGATTCAATATGCAATCTTTTGACTTCTTGACATCATCTTTATGTCATTAGCAAAGACAAGTGAGGCATTTTATTAGAATCTAATCTTCGTTTATTCCTTTGATGTTCAACTCAAATTTGGTTGTGAATGGTCCGGTTCTATTACATAAAGTTGCTTACTTGTTATGAAAGATAAATTTGCGTAGGTCAGCGAAGCACCTCCTAATGACTGATGTTTAAAATCCATGCTTTTGCCGACCATGGCTGGATGAGCAGTTGTGAGAAGTAGGATAAGTAAAATCATGTTGAGCAGTTTTGATCTTTGGGTGTGACGTTAATATGACGTTCACTGATGTTCAGTCAGTTATCTGATACCATTTTACGGCTTCCTGTAAGACTAGTGGTAAGCAGTTTGATTTAAATTTGTCAGTGTAATGGTGGGCGACTTTTACATATGTACTTATAAAGTATGTGCATACACTGGTTTATTTTGAGAGTAGCCATCCGAAATTTTACTCGTCAAATTCTAAGAAAATGGATAATATAAAGCTAAAAATTGACCTTTCTAGTCGTACAACTTTTGTAGCGACTTGTTTGATAATTGTTTAGTTGCAAGCAAATCTGTTTTCAATTGCTGATTAACATCCATCTCTACACACATTCTAGGACTTTTTGTCATTATGTTATTAAATTGTATAAAGTTGAAATTCTCAATTATTAGGATTAAATTTATAATATGAAGTTTACTTTATGGCATTGGTTCTCTAACAAAGCAGATTGTTAGAGTTAGCACTGTTGGGTTTGTGATTCAAAATTGTCTCTTCCTGGATCACGTTCTAATATAAAACGCGCATTTCCAGGCAAGTTATAAAGTGAAGTTGTGATAAATGAGATCCAAAATCTCTTCTCATTCCTGAGCCAAACTGACTACTCATTTATTACATCGCCCACTTATGAACTGCGAACGAGCTAACAACTAATAATACTAAGTATACAGAACAAATGGCTCACACATTCTTAGCAAATAAACGCAACAGCCAAAACTAACATATATTTACTGCTACATAAAATGAGAACGAAATACACCAGCAGTAAAGTACACCTTCTATGTCATGCAGTTTTGGGAGAAGGACATGACGAACGCCTCTTTGGTTATTCTTCTTCTCTTTTGATTCTCAAAGCTGCACTGTTTTTTTGTGCTCTGCAGCTCTGTCTCAAGTCGTCACAACTCACTCACCCGAATCTCAAATAACTCAAATCTCATCCATACCACACGCCACACTCTTCGTCGATCACCTCTCAAACTCTTATTTACTGCTGATTGAGCTACATACACGTTAGTTCAAGACAGAATAATTCAGCCTATGGTATTTAACATTAAGTAGTACAGATATCAGCTATATATTGGCAGAGACTTTTGCACGACAAAGATATATTTGTAAAGGGGCTAAGCTACCCTGCAGCACGTCTCATCTATCCCAGCTATCGTTTCAGGTTTAATCAAGTGTTTAGTCTAAGCAATTTCAATGACGTTCAAATAAATCACATAAATGATTTAAATTACACTTGCACATATTAAGCACAAACTTAAAACTACTGTACACACATGCTTAAATGCGTATAATCAAGATAGAAAAGAATATGCACGGTTGACAGTTCACCTTACCCTTGTATTGACTCAATCGTGTATGTGATAACTTTGTAGTGCATAAGTTACTTATACTTGTGTTTTCGCAAACGTACAAAAAATATAAAAGAGTGAAGCGTGAGCTGGTTTCGTGGTAAATCGGAATGGTTTTAGTAATGACATGTAGTTTGAAAAGTAATGTATCGTTTGTGAAGTGGGTGATCAGTTGGTCCTTAATTTTTGGGTTTACATACATATGAGCGTGTGGGATTCTAACGATAGTGCAACCGCAATCTGGACAAAGGACGCCTGATTGCAATTTCTTGCACGTTTGCTTTGCAGGTGAATGAATTGAGAGAATCGCACATACTTAGTTTTCATAACCCAGGTCATTCATGTGGGCGTTCGTATTTTTATTTCGTATTTTTAGAAATAAATGCCTGACCTCCGTAAATTGAGATACAAATTTGATCATCCCCAGTTGTGTATTATAAAAGTTGGATTTTTCTTTCAGCATTAATTGATGCGTAGGCGTGCCAAGTCTCACAAGGGCCATTTGTCCATTGATCCAAGTAATGCTCTCAAGTGACGTACAAAAATACTAGGCTTGCGAGCGGAAGTTGTGCAATGCCAATAATAATACATGCATGTTTTAGCTTGAGCGTTCTCCAGTCGTTTCAAGTGCGGTAGTTTTTTTGCTTGGTTGCGAGCCAGGGATTATTATGAAACCATTCTGCTCGTCAGTTTGCCTGACCGTTTATCTGGATAACGCTCACCATCCCATTGGCTTCAAAGTTATTGTATTGGGTTAATTGAGGTTAGGTGACGGGCATTACACGCCACAGATAGCGATATCAAGTAAAAGTTTAGAACAAGGGACCCATTAAACGAGTACTATCCTCACGATTTTCAGAAATTATTTAAGGTAAAATTAGGCAAATAGTTAAAGGTAGTTATGAAGGTCTCCAATTATACGTACCTGCATCAATTGGGATGCAATAAGAACCCAAAATCTGCACTTACTTATTGAGGTATTTTTATAAAGGCAAGGAACACGCGATTAAGAACATATCTTTGCGTAAGTATTCTTTTGCAACAGCCATTGACTGGATTTTACTACACTCGAACTCATTCATTCAACTAAGAATATATTTTTATGGCTTCGCTCGATGCTAGACTAGACGGACTGGCTTGTGTTTAAGAATTCATGCGAACTTGTTGTTGAGCTCGTGGGTGTGCTGGACTTTGGTTACGCTTTAACTTCACATTCACACCACTTATGTGTGTATTCTGTACTTCTGAGACAGACACCTCGTCCTGAGCGACTACAAGAACTTTCTCCTTTGGCGATTCCAGTCCAGTTTTCTGCCTCTGCTCGCTCGCACCTCACTCTCTCACCAAACAAACCATTCATTCATAAGCGTGCATCATGCAAATGCCATGCTATTTTATTTCTCACGGATCCGTTATCACCCAGCCTATGCTAAATCTCTTGTGATTTCGCACAATCCCGTTACAGCAATAAGTAATCAATTATTTAGGATAGTATGAATTTTGACACTCTTGACCATTTTTTTAAAAATATGTCTACTATTGCAGGTCTCAAGTCACCAGTTTCTACTCGAACGGGATAATATTTATTATATAGTTGGAGTGATACTGTTGTGTTTGTGGAGTGGACAAGTGGCATTAGTACGTACATATTTATTGATATTATGCAAGACTTGAGTTTAATCACCCCATATCTAAAAAATAGTGAGGTGTACTGGATAATGAATTAATAGCAAATTGTAACTCAAACTGGATCATATTTACGAATTCAGCCGCCTACGTATTTTATCGCAGAATAAATTATCTTACAATAAACCTGACAACGTACATATAAGCTTTTATTCGTGTTACAAGTGCTGACTGCCGGTGGTGTGAGACACTTTATTGTTAACTGGTTGTGCTCTGCTGTTATCATTATTATTTACCATCCCGTTTACTAAACTGCAAACAAATTATTTTTCTTCCCTTGGTCAAGATATATTCAAGTTGTTTGCACTACGAGGTTCTAGCAGTTTGATATGTATACACACATGCTGATGAAGTTGTGGTTATTCAACTTTGTCTTGTCCCCAATTCATTAAGTAGATACAACTTGTCACTCTGTCATTGTCAAGGACGTTGTGCCACAGAGCATAATTGATACCTCAGCCCATTGTCAACATTTTTTATCACGTGTCACGATGGATTAAAAACAATCGCTGCTAATTTGTGATCCGAGTAATTACATTTACACCGCCGTCAAGTAAAAAATTGACTCGTCTCCAAACAATTCTCCACATAAAAAAATGTTCACTGCCCGACAACAAATCAGAATGGTTCGTCGTACCCAGATATTAAGGAGCCACATCATGTTCGCTTTGATTCTGGGGCTTCTTTCCGAAACTCATTGGGTTCTAGGTAAGAATTTCTATAGAACAATGTTTCATTTTCAATCAATCATTGAAGAATACATATTTTGTATAAAATCTAAAACATATCGAGCCCATATATTTAGATGAGGTACATGCATTCATATGGCCAATTTGGTTAGTAACACAGGTGTGTTTAATATAGATACGTATAATAAAGTTAGGTTAGTTCGTCGATAGGTTTGATAAACACTCGTCAGTGTTCATGGTGCCGAGTTGTCTGGATTTATGGAGTTTGCTTGCAAAGGATGAATCAGTATCTCGTAGTGTATCCTCAGATAAATGATTGGAACTGATGTATTATGCATCAAATCAAACTAATCATTGGGTCGGTGTTTTAATGTGAATATTTTAGGGTATTATAATAACTATATGCTGCAGGCACGTAGTTGATAACCTTGACTTTGTTGTGTTTGTCTGAAGTTCTTAATCCTTATTGGTGAGACCAGCAGACTGCCCGTGCTTTGTCTCACCTCACCATCACTGAGGCACACGGATACATTGCAAATTTCCAATCCTACTACATATTGAATTAGACGACAATAAATTTGTAAGCGAATTTGAATTTCACATTCCTCTCTATTGGAACATAAAAAATCTACCAGCAGAGAATGTATATAGCCGATTAAAATACAAGTATGCATTACAATTTACTGCTCATTTTGCAGTTTAATTTATTACATGCATATTTATCTAATGTGAGAAAATATACTTAAATTCTCTGACTGGGTGAATTCTATATTCACCCAGTAGATATAGTTCCTTGTCTATATTATACATAGCTAAAGTTCTCTGCTTTCCGTTAGACCCATGCATTAAGATGACATACATACGATTTTAAAGAAAATATCTATAAAACACGTACTATACGTCCATTAGGTCAAAATAAATTTTAAAGTGCACAAATAAATACAAACGTGTCCGATACACCATATAAATTTTATAATTGAATTTTGTGTTCCAAACCTAATAACAATATGGCTTAAATTAGCGTTATATTATTTCTATATATTTGTGCCTGCTCACAATAGGCAGACAAACTGGGTTTACGACTTCTTGTTAAAAGTAGCTTGTGAAGTATTAATTTCATTTACTATTTTATTTACCATAATGAGTGGATCCAAGGGCTTGTAAGGTAGAAGCTTGTTAAATAAGTAACGCTTCCTGATAAGGAAGGTATGAAATCATGTTAATGTTAACATCTTACGCATATCTTAATTGGCGTGATTTCATATTCGGTTTAACGGGAAAGCTTTCTCTCCGACAAAACCAATTTGTGTATGATTGAGTTATGTTTGTGTGTGCATTTAAAAGTTAATAGTTTTATGCAATCCTACATTTGTATGTATATTAGTTGGCATTGTGTTGACTATGTAAGTACAACATTCATATTTTTAAGATCCCAAACTTAGCCACACTACCATCTGAGTAAGCCATTCAGAATTCAATTAGTGGGCTGAAAAGCAGGTAGTTCGCAAATGCAAATTGCACATTAAAAATTGCAATTGAGCACAAATATTTATTTATAGTACAACCAAACATTTTTGGTAGTTTCATGAACTCACCATTATTATCCACTACTATTATTTGTGGAAGAGAATTGGTTGCCTGCTGAATACATTTGCAAGGGAGGTGAAATGATGGGGTTGTTAACCACTACAATAATAACCACCGGTAGTCGAGGCTGTTGTCACAAGAATAGAAGAACGGAGCAAAGATAACTTATATTTATGTAAGACCATGGATCCCCTGAAGATTGCAGTAAGGCATTATTTTATCGAAAATGTCTGTACTGACGACTCGTCAGGCTTATTTTGAAAAATCAGTAATAATCACTCTGGTTGCACTTTGCTCACTTTTAACTTCATATTCTTTAATGAGAAGCCATTAAGTATCATTGTGCCGGATTTCATCTTTTTAAACAATTTCTAAAAATCGGTATGGGTCACCCCATCGGGTCACTCCAGATAAAAATTTTGACCCCCACTGGTCAACCACTTGACCGATTTCGCCCATATTCGAATTCGTTTCCGAACTTTTCCCATTATGCATATGGTAAAAATTTCAAGTCAATCGGTTCAGCCGTTTTGGCTCTATCGTGCCGGACAGACAGACGGACGGACGGACGGACGGACATGACGGTTCCATAAGCCTTGACTCGGGCTAAATAATTTTCAAAAACGGTATTTAAATGTAACTAGGTTGAATTTTACAAAAAATTGTCGCGAAGGCTGTTTTACATCCGAGAGTTTCAATTGTCCTCCCCGGTTTTGTTCTTTCCAAATCTTGATATTAATAATATCAAGATTTCTGTCGCTCTCTTTGATGCAGTATTTATAAATATGCCAACAGTCTCAAAGTTCAAAGGCATCCAACTGTGAGTGCGAATTGAAAGAGAGATTGTTGCAACTACCTACATACAACTTGCTAACTCCATCCATGTCACCAACGACGACGACGACGACGAAGGGTTTAAGGATGTACAGAAATTTTTGTCGTCTAAATAATTTAGTCAAACCAAAATCATCTATTTTATGTGTTGTTTTATGGTTTTCTGTTTGATAAGCGATGCACAGATGAATGGAGTTCCTATCTATTTGCACATTTCTTTCTTAATGACAGAGCACGGGATGCAGTCGTTGCATATGATATGAACATTAAAGAAATTTTTGTCGTCGGATTATTAGTATCGGCATTTTGGCCTCAAAAAATGAGGAGGAGGTGATTTTTACATGCAGTGCAGAATTTAATGCACTTTTCAGTAAAGTGACTCGGTTAAATCGTTAACCAAGACTTGTTAGATTGACGTTGACATGGATGGATTTATGGTCGAGGCATTAAAATTAAAGACATTTTTTACATAAGCAATGCATGTAAAAATGCCCTTAATTACAATACCTCGACCATAGCTATGTGTAAGTAGTTGCAGCAATTTTTATTTTTGCATAAACATACAATCAAGCTTCAAGATCATCATAGCCCACATTACATACAGCTGCGATCAATGTTCCAGTTCGATTTGCAAGCATACCTTTTACCTTAACGGAAAAAAATTCAAATTCATTACACAAAATGATTTTTCTATCATGCCCGTCACAGTTAAATTTTAGGCTTATGAATCAGGTTCATATGACAAGGTTCGTTTAGGTATTTATGTATGTACGTAGTTTCATATTACAACTATAGTAGTTAGTGGACACTTGTTTTCTTTTCAATCCTATGGACATTTTTTTGTGTGAGAAATTGTACCAATAATTGTACGTGAGCAGACTTTTCTATACAAACAACGCATACCTAAGTGCATATTTGTATGCACATGAAGACAGCGTATGTAGAATGACAATTTATCGATGACATAATTTGTTTTTATTTGTTGAACAGGAGGTAAAAAACGAAGGCAACAATTTCTACGATCTCTTATTATGTTTTTTGACCGTCGTATAATATGCATATGGGGAATGGATGAGCACATTATTGCAGATTTGATAGAGAGCACATGCAGTGCCACGAGATCGCCTTCGAAGGAATGACCTTTATCACCACGAACGGTCATCGCCTCCTCACCCCACGCCCCACCACGGCACGTTTTGTGATTGATAGTGATCCATCCATGTGTGTTTGCACCCGCTCTCTGTAGGCAACCAAAGTCAGCCGACGGATCTCTTAGTATTCGCACGATCGGCTTTTTTTGAGTCATTAGTCGAATTCCTTCACATAAATTATTACATTTCAATGAGTTCCATTGAACATTATAACACGTAGTTAACATTCTTAATGCTGATTTAACCTAACTTTTATTTAATCACGATATGTGTGGCATAACAATTTGAAACATGTGCACCTTTCTAACAAAAAATAAACAAGTATCTGTATTGGAATAGTGCACTTACATACAACTTATACCTTTGAAGATTAAATGAAAGCATTAGAAATAGAGAGGATTCATATCCAATTATATAGGTTGAACATTATTGGGCAATGCTTTATAATATGGTCAAAATATTGCTCCGGAAGGCAAGTCATTGACGACTTTTCTGTCCATCCTATTGGGGTCACCTGCGCACTTACGTGGGGAACCTATATATTTACGATGCCAATATAAATATGTAACAATACTAAGAGTAGAATTCTCGGAAGACATGGTTGTTGGTATGTAAAGCAATTTATTACAAGCTTTCGATGCCACACTTGCATCATCATCAGGCAACTTTTTTAACCTTTTAAAAACGGATTCCACCAATAAGGTGGAGGGCGATTTCGATCTCTTGGCGACGGACTACACCAATAAGGTGTAGGCTAACTTTTTCTCGTTGGCGACGGATTCCACCAATAAGGTGTATGGTTACAGAATTCCGTTGAGACCGGGCTACATCAATAAGGTGTAGGAAAAAATAAAAATAAAATGACCGAGAAAATTTTCT